TTTTATTTTCCCTTTTAAATTATATTTTTTTCATTTTATTAAAAATAAATTATTAAAATAAAAAAACAATTTATTTAAAAATGTTATTAAAATTTTTTTTTAAAATTTACGAATTTTAATTATTTAAATAAATTGAATTGTTTTTTTTTTATGAAAAAAAAAATGATTATAAAGAAAACATTAGTAATTTTTCTCTTTATTTTGATAAAAAAAAAATAATAATAACGATCGCTATTAGCATTTGTGATAAAATATTACCCTACTATCATTTTAGTTAAGTGATGAAGGTCTCTGTGAGGCGTAAAATAATTTGACCGTGAACTCTACCTTTTTTTTTTATCAGCCTTTCTATCATTGAAATAACTGTATTGTTAAATTATTTTATTTAAGAAAAAAAATGTAAGAACATAAAAAGAAAACGTATATAAACTTCCTTCTTTTTTTTTTACTTCATATATAATTTATTTTTAATAAACAATATTGTCTTTGAAATTTATAATTTCTTTTTAATTGAAAATTTGAAAAAAAAATTAAAAATAATTTAAAAAAAAGAAAAAAATTAGAAAAATGAAGAATTAAAAAACTTTTTTCATTTGTGAATTTTATACATGATTTATTTTTATTATAATATTCTTTGGAATTCATATAAATATGATTGTTTTCATTTTGCAATACAATGAGTAATTATATTGTTTGTAATCAACCTTAACAGTAATTAATTATTTATATTATTATTTTATATATATTTTTATATATATATAGGTACTATACATCCATGAGAAAGTTCTCTTTTATCACAAATCGATTTCTTAATTTTAATGTATATATGTAAATAAATTTGCAATTATTATGAAATATTAATATTCATATGTTTAAATTCAGTATTAAGTTAATATAATTAAATTTATTTGTTAAATTTATTTCTATTAAATATTATTGGAAAAAAATATCTATATTTTAATTAATTAATCATTTTCATGTTGAAAAAGTTTTTATGATATACATTTTTAAAAAATACTATAAAATATATAAAATTGATATATAAAATTTAAAAAAAATTTTTTTGAAAAAATATTTAATTCTATTCGACTATTATTGAAACTTAAATGTTTTTCCTTTAGCATCAAAAATAAGTATTTAAGGAAAACATTATGAAAAATGAATATTAAACGGCTCATTAGCCTTTTTGTGTTTACGTCAAAAAAAAAAAATTTAAGGATTACAATGCAATCGCACGTTACGCATTATGTCATGACATTAAAATTTTTTTTCAGCTAATTTCTAAACAACAAGAAACATTGTCAATCGCAGTAATTTGGAAAATATACAAAATTTTACAAAATGTATTACAATTATATGATAAATTTGTCTTATTTAAATAAGAGACATTTTAGTGTCATTAAACATAAAAAAAAAGAAAATTTATCAATTTCGAAATCTTTGTCGTATGATAACAAAATGTTTTTAAATTAAGATTATTTGTTGTGTTTATAACTGCAAAAACGAATGTCTTAATTAAAGACACTTTTGTCCTAATTTTTAAGACATTTTATGGTATCTTAGATTTCGATTAATGACAAAGCGTTTTAAACATTTTCGTAATCGCACCGAAACAGGTCTTAAATTTTAAGACATTTTTAAAGTATCTTATGTGTCTTAAAATAAGACACCCATTTTTGCAGTGTAAAACACAAAAAATGTCTTGAAATTAAGACGTTTATGGTGTTTAAGACACAAAAAAATGATATAAATTAAGGCGGTTTTGGTGGTTATTACAAAAATATGTCTTCCTCGAGACCCTTTTGTTTTGAACACTATAGTGTCTTATATTAAGATATTTATAAAGTTTAAGACAACAACAATGACTTAATGTTATTTTTCATTTTTTTCGTTACATTTGAGACAGAAAAAAATGCCACAAATTACGTCTCAGACACCACAATGTCTTACAATAATATATATTTATGATGTTTAAGACAAAATAAATATCGTAAGACACTATTTCTTAATATACCTCGTTTTTCCAGTGGCAAAAATTATTTTCATTTAATTAAATATTAAAAAATAGAAAAAAAATTAAATTCTCAACATTTACAATAATTTTTGTTTTTAAATAAATATTTTTAACAGTAACAAACTAACAATAATTATTGATTTAGAATGACTCTTCTTTTATTATCAACATTTTGTAATATATAATTTCATTAGTTTTATAATTCATGATTGTATGATTTATAATTCATGATTATTTTTTAAAATTTATAACATTTTTTTTATAATTCATAATTATTAATTTTTATAATTCCACTGCAAAATCGTATGTCTTATTTTGAGACATAAGACACTTAGAGAAACATCTTAAAATTTTCTAGACTTGTTTAAATAATTAGGAAAATATTTAAGACATATCGTAATTGACCGAAATCTAAGACACCATAGAAAATGTCTTAAAAATAAGGACAAGTGTCTTAAAATAAGACATCTTTTTTTTTGCAGTGTCATGATTATTCATTTTATTATTATTTTCATCTCTCTAAATCTGAATTAGTAAAAAATGAGCTACTAATTTAACCCTTAACTGGTACAATTCCACGTTCGAACGTAAATGGCACAATGGGTCTGCTAGACCCGATGTATTCAGATCTATATTGTACAGCCGGTGTTGAATATTTTTGCACAAAAATTTAATCTGAGATAGCTTATGATGTGTTTTTTAAAATTTCATTGATTTTACAGGGATTAATTTATTTTAAGTTAGTTAAAAAAAATTGTGAAAAATAAAAACGAAAAATTGCGTGTTTTTACTTAAGGCCAGGTCCAAGTCGAGTCAGCTGTTCCTTTGAAGTTACACGACTTGTACCTGGCCTTAAACATTCATGTGTTATTTAAATTTTAATATTATGACTTAAAAATTTAAGGTTGCAAAAAATTTGCAATAAAAGGTATTTATTTTGCAAAATAAAATGTGCCTGTTTAAGTTAAAATTAAAAATTTATAATTATTAATGTTTAAAGCTAATTTATTCTTTTGTATCGAATTAGTTGTATGCTCGGGTCTACTGGACTCATGATGCCAGTTGAGGGTTAAATTAGTAAAAAATTTCCATTAATTTTTGGTCATCTTTTTACTAAAACTTTAGTAAAAAAAATTTTTTTTAACTACTAAATTAAATAGTAATATTTTACTAAAAATTAATAAAAATTCTTACTACACTGCAAAAAGAAGTATCTTATTTTAAGATGTTTTGGTAGCGTTTTCAAGACATCTTACCCAGATAGCACGTAAGCTTGCAGCAACCTTGCGGCAAGCTTGCCGCGCAATACTGACAAACTTGCATGGCAAACTTGCCTCAAGCTTACTGCAAGCATCAAATGTCCCACCTGACCCAAGCTTGCATAGTAAGCTTACTGAAAGATTGCAGTGTAAGATTACTGCAAGGTTGTGGTGTTTGGTTAATGCAAGATTGCACCATAAGATTATCGAAAGATTGCTCAGTAAGCTTGCACGGTAAGCTTGTAGCAAGGTTGGTGCAAGGTTGCCAAATAACCTTAGTTTGAACCTAAAATTTTTTTTTTAAATTTTTCGTCTAATTTATATATTTTTATTATATAAATTTTATTATATAACTTAAACGAAACATTCTTTTTTTTTTTTTTAATTTTTTAGTTTCAAAGTAAGGTTATTTGGCGATCTTGCACCAACCTTGCTACAAGCTTACCGTGCAAGCTTAATGAGCAATCTTGCGATAATCTTATTGTACAATCTTGCAGTAATCTTACACTGCAATCTTTCGGTAAGCTTACCATGTGAGCTTGGGTCAGGTGGGACATTTGAATCTTGCGGAAAGTTTGCCGTGCAAGGTTGGCAATATTGTGAGGCAAGTTTGCCGCAAGGTTGCTGCAAGCTTACGTACTATCTGAGTATTGTCTTAAAAACGCTACCAAAACATCTTAAAATATAAATTACTTCGTTTTGCAGTGTAATGTAAATTAGTAACTCACTTTTCACTGATTCAAATTTAGAGAGATTATTATTATTATTTAATAATAAGAGATGTTTTTCATTTTTAGACATTTTAGTGTTTTATAATTAAAGCTTTTTGGTATATGAAATTCTAAAAAAAAAAATTCAATACAAATATAACAGACACCTCTTTTACAATTTAAATTCCGATATTGTAGTGTATCGAATTTTTATCAACAGAATGAAGATATATCATGATAATAATTGAATAAATTTCATTATATATATATATATATATATATGATATGCACAAGTGATAGGACCAAGAAAATGTTTTATGAAAATAAACACCTTTATATCGTACACTGTAATCTCTATACATATATATCATTTTTAACAGTCTTGAAAAAAAACCCAGTCAATAATTTTTTTTCTTTCTCTTTTTTGTATATTTATACAATAAATAATAGAAAAGTAGAATGGAAACAAATTGAAATAATTTGTTATTATTTTCTCGCAAAAATATTGCATATGTTACCATATACATATATAATATTTAACATTATTACATCATTTTCAAACAAATATATATATATATATATATATAAATTTTTTTTTTCAAATATTTAACAATCATTTCCATTTTGTATAATTGTGACCATTAAATATTTGCATAAATGTATAAAATTCTTTTAAATGAAAAAATTTCTTGAGTAGAAAATTATTGTCAGTTGATGAACTTTTGGCATAGCCGGCTTTAGTGTTAGTTTGATATATTCTTTTTTTCTTGACAACATCCATGTCACGTGGAACAGCAAATAACAAGAATGTTGATGGTGAATTGAGAAAATCTGCAATCTGAAGATTGATACTTCAGACAATTGCAATTTATTAGTATGGAAATAAAAAAAAAAAAAAAAAAAAAAAAAAAAATTTCGCGCTTTAAGTTAAAATTCAAAACAAAAAAATGAATTGAATTGTGTGTGCATATTTAAATCCCCCCCCCCTCCCTTCAGATTATACCCTACAGGACTCACCTTCCTGCTGCGACATGTCTGAGGATTGGAACATTCAGATGAGCGTCTACTGCGATTAGTCTTGTAAATATCCCACTCATTTTTCACCACAGGCATCATAAACGCCATCTCGAATAAAAATAGATTATAATAATATTATCCCACCAACACACTTATATAGTGAAATTGTCTTAATTTCAATTTTTCTTGTGAAGGTAGAAGATAAAAAAAAAAAATGAAAGATTTGGCCTTTTTACACTTCGCGTTTCACTGAATGTGTTTATTTTTATTTTTTTTTTTGAATTTTCTAGGAACTTTTTTTTTTTGTTTTTAACTAAAGTTCTTCTTTTGTTTATATCGGCAGTTAAATGACAATAATACCAGTTAATGTTATATCGACTGTGTGATATAGAGAACAAACATACGTTGTTATATATTCACGATCTTTTAAAAGTTTCAGCGGTTTTTTTTTTTTTTATTGTATTTTTAAACTGCCGTGTGTGTGCGATCGCTATAAGTTTCTGATTGAGAATGAAGCCAGAATGGAGCGCGTTGAAAACACGCCGGGCACACTCGCAATAAATGACGCATGCGCATTTTAAAGAAGTAAAGGTATCACACAAGAGTATAGAGAGTAATACTCTATTCAAAAGTGGGGTAACATGTGAAGCGATTGGTTAATTGTAAGGCGGGACACTTGACGTCACATCAAGGTTTACCATTGATTTTTCCGTATGTGTATATGACGTTTATATAGGGTAAGCATTGATTTTTTTTTTGGTCCAGGACTCATCACACGTAGTTCCACTGAGTTCAAGGGGAAATGACCATAGAGCGCAATTTCCCTTTGTTGACAGTGGGCGCCCCTCTCTTTATAAATTTACCTTGAAAAATACACTCATTCTTCAAGGTCATTGCATTTGTGACTTAACATTTTTGGGGTTATGTATGTAAGAGAAGTCCAATATTTCTCTTTCAATAACTGTTCTATATATGTATAAGTACAGGAAATGAAAGTTGAAAAATTCGAATTACAAATATTTTCCTCTTATCTAAGATGTAACTCACCTTTCAAGTGCATATATTATTATTGCAATTCATTTTAAAATTCGTTTTATTGAGATGAATACAAAATGAAAGTAGTACGTGACTTTTTGCATGTAAAAATTTGACAAAATGATATACATATAAAATTAATTAATATAAAGTGCATAAAAAATTGGATGAATATATATAATCCATATACAAATTTTACCTAACTTAAAAATTAGTATTTTTCCTCCTGGACAGAAATTATTTATATATTTAATTTAAAACGAAGACAAAATGAATATTTGACGAATATGAGACATCAAGAAATATAAATTAAGTATATAAAAGTAAGGTTAGGATTACACAGCTTGTTTTTATCAGACGGTATTGGTGTTTTTTACTTTACTGTTTGGGAATTAATTATCCCTAAAATACCAATACTCCATTATTATGGTACTAGCAGGAAATCCTAACCTCAATTTTATAATTTCTATTCGTCCATACCAAAATGACACACTAAAAAAATTTAATTCAAATAATCGGTTATTATTATCGAATAAATATTTTCTTCAATCAAATAATTTATATTTGAGTCTATTAAATGATATTTGTTTTATAAGTACGAAATTATTAATACAAATACAATTTATTTAATTCAAATAAAAATTATTTGTTTCAAGTAAATATTTATTTAGTTCGAATAAATATTTATTTGGTTCAAGTAAATATTTTTATTTGGTTTAAGTAAATATTTATTTAAATTAAATAAATTTTTTTTTCAGTATCAGTCATAATTATGACAGTATTTCTCGATAATTTCTATCAGTAATTATTATTTTTGCGAATGAATTTGAATAATAGATAAGCAGTGATCAACATCTAATAAAGCAAACAACACACAGAACAATGAAATTGATGATGAATAAGTCGCAATTACAAATTTCTAATGTCGCAGTAAAAATTCATTTTAGGTATAAAAAGTTTATGTTCTTTATAAATGAATCAGCCTTAAAATGCGAAATTTAAAAATATCTAAAATAATACATCCGTATATCCTTTTGTGAAATAATTGTCAATAGTCTTGACTATTGTATATATATATACATATATATATAACAAGGTTTTTGTGATAGAACAATCCCGAAGAATCTATGCATTCTTTTAGCTTTTAATTACAGTAAAAAAAAATTTTATTTGATTCAAATAATAACTTGACTATTATCAAATAAATATTTATTTGTACGATATAATTTTTATTTGTAGTAAATAAACTGTATATTTAACCACTAATTTCTTTATTTGAAATAAATACCATCTCAAATAATTATTATATTTAATACAAATAAATATTTATTTGATAATAGTCAAGTAATCGATTATTTTAATCAAATAAAGTTTTCATTAGTCACTTTATTACAACAGTTTTTGAATTTAGCGCTATTATTCATAGTTTTGTATTAGATGGTTGGCACTATTGCTCTAGCCAATTTACGCAAGATAACCTTAAAATTTTGCCTTTTAATTTAGTGAATTAAAGCGGAATTACTTTTAACTCAACTCAAAATGAATAAAATACGAAAGATTAATTATAAATATTTTATTTTTATATAAAAAAAGTATAGGCATTTCTTTATTATGTATTATTAAGTAAAAGGTAATTATGCGGGCTAATAAAACGAAAATCGTTTCATATTATGAAATAACACTTTCCAAATTGAAAATAAATACACAAATGCGTTCAAACAATATATAATTTTAAGTTTTTTTTTAGCTGTTTTTCGAATGGAAAATGAAAGTTGATAAGAATTTTTTTAAACGTCATCGCGAATATAGATGTAATATAGAAATGTTGAATCAGCCTGAAAGTTTGTAAATAAATAAATGCATTTTTCTGTATTGAATGCAACGCCCACAGTAGTATAATATGTATATATATATAAAAGCAAGGGAAACGACTCTTTCTACTGCTATCTATATTTAGCTCTAAGGCGCCGTCCTTCAAATTTATGTAACACTTTAGAAAAAATAACGGCGTCGCTTACAACTGCATTGTTATTAATAAATTATCGACGAACGTCGATAAGAAACTTGTTTACTATTCACATATATATACATACACGTTCCTTTTTAAGTGCACTTATATATATTATATGAAGTCACAACATAATATAATTTAATAGCAAAACAATTTTTCTCAATTTAATGGAATTTATTTTTATTAAAAAATTACTTTTTATTTAATATTAATTGTATTTAGTAATTTATTTATAATTTTTTGAATATTATAAATTTGCAAATTAATAGGTAGGTGTTTTGTTTACAGATGGTATGCTAGAGATTTACCAGTTGTTGGTAAAAGAAACTTTTTTATCATATACTCTTTATAAAATTATCCACAGATAAATCAGTAAATTGTATCGATTACTAAAATTTATAATATTTATTACAATTGTATAAAAACGAACTATTATAATGATGTGAGATTTTAACAAATAAATTATTTTTAATTTTAATAGAGAAACTTTGAATAACTTAATAATTTTAAATAGAGTATATTTTATATCACATCTTTTTTGCCTTTCTCTTTTATAAATATATACCCTAAAAACTTTATCTAATTTTAAATGATGAGAATAAAGTATGTTTTATATTTTTGATTATTATATTATTGTAATATTTATTTATTTATTACACTTGTCTATGCATATAATAATGCGTATAAGAGGAATTCACTCGTATAATAGAAATTAATCAGGGTGGCAATAATTTTTATGATTTTAAATTCCCGGTTTTTTTCCGGTCAAAATTTTGTAAATAGATTAATTTTTTCACACAAAAAATGACTATGTTTCTAAAAAATTCATAACTTTTTAATTTTTTTAATATTAATTCTTCTAATAAATTTTAATAATGCACTACTACAAAAAAATAATTAGATATTTATTTTAAAAATACAATTTTATGAGAAATTAATGCAACAAAAGATATAATAGACGATATAAATTTTTAGAATATCTGAAAAATTCCCGGTTTAACTATGGAATTCCCGGTCATTTTCCGGTCACATTTTAAAATTCCTGGTCATTTCCCGCTTTCCCTGTCATATCGCCACCCTATTAATAAAAAATTAATATAAAGCAATATAAAAAAACAATGCTTTTTAAAGATTTAAAGTCATTCGAAGACAAAATATTTGACCAAAATTCCAAGTTGTTGGAAAATGGTCCTTTATTTTGGATTTTTAAAATCTGACCTTAAATTTGGATTCAGCGACCCCCAAATCCCTAAAAGAACTATTTTCATGCAAATCTGGTCAATTTAAAAATTTTTTTGGACGCCATATTGGGTCCCCCATCTTGAATTTTGTAAATTTGACATCAAATTCTGATTCAGCGACAACGAAAACCTTAGTATACCCATTGACACTCAAATCGAATTATGTTTAGTATCACAGAAAATTAAAAGGCATTAAAATAAGCAGTGCAACGCTTATTATTTTTTCCAATTTTGCTTGAGGCAAAATTCCTGAAATGTCCGAACAAAAAATTAAAAGTTCTCGAATTTAATCCATACTTTTCTAAAATGTTGTTATTGTTGGTGAAAGTCTAAAAATCAATTATTATTGAATTTAATAAAATAGTTTTTGAATTACAACGTTTTTAATTTTTGATTTTTGAAAAAAAAATTTTTTTTCAATGTACAATATTTATAAGTAGAATGCATAAAAGTTAACATATATATAATGATTTTTAAAGCTTTTTTCACGAGCTACACGCTGTTAATAAAAATTTTTTTTTTTAAATAACATTTGACCTTGAAATTCAAGGTCAAAATGTTAATTTACGTTTATCTCAAAATCGGATTTTTTAAAATTATTTTTAACTATCTCAATGGAAAGCTTGACTAATTTCCTACAAAACATGTAATTTTCATCCAACGAGCCCTATATGAAGTATTTTGGATAAGTAGATTGTTAATAAACAATTAATTAACATTGCAATTGTTTATTAACAATCTACTTATCCAAAATACTTCATATAGGGCTCGTTGGATGCGGAATTACGTTAACTTTCTATTTTAGAAATTAACGACAAAAAATAACAAGACACTATTTTAAATGTATACGAAATTATAATTTCTACTTTTAAATGTTATTTAATTCCGGTAAACAAGATTTAAATTACCCTCCTTTTTTCATTTAATTGATAATAATTTTTTAATAACATTTTTTATTTATTTACAATTATTTATATTTTTTTTTATTAAATACACTACCGGCAGAAATTGTCGGTACGCCTGACGTACGAGGAGTGAAAAATTTGATGTTGAGTTTAAATCAAGATATTTTAAGTTAGAAAAAAAGTTAGAGACTTGTAACTTATTGTTTGATGGTTGGAAAGCTGATAAAATTCTGCGTCTGCATGTATATCGAGAAAAATTTTTTCTTTTTTTTAGCATTTATAACACCGAAAATATTTCAAGAAAAAATTATGCAATAGGGTAACTGCACCAGTGGTGGATCAATTAAGCCAACTAAATTTATTATTTTGACTTTAAAGGTGTACAGATTTTTTCAGATGAAAAATATAGGGTAATCTTTACAATAGTATGAATTAACAAGTCTCCAAGGACACTATCGTGTAGTTTTCGACCTGCTTGTAACGTTTACACCCCCTCACACTCCCATTCAACAATAAAATGACATTGCTCCAGTCGTGGATCATTTACCCCTTTACACTACACAAAAATAACTTAATGATGTAAATTTTTTTCCAAAAGTATTCTGTATGGAAAGAATTGATTACTTTCTACTCTAAAAATTAAAAAAATTTAAACTAAACAATTATTTTTTAAGATTTCATGTGAAAAAGCATAAAATCAACAATTGTTGTATTGCTCTGTTTTACTAAATATTTTCAAATGATTTTATTTCATAAAACTTATCTATACACCTCCCCTAAACTATTGAAACATTTAGTTCAATTGGAAATAGCTTATTTTAACCTTTTTAACGCTGTTGATCCACCATTGGTGCCTGATCCACCACTGGTGCATTTACCTTACGTAAGTTTATAATAATCCTTATGTAATTAAAAAAATTAATTACAACAATACAAATGGAAAATACTTGGCAAAGTCTTACGTAAAAATAGCTTCTACCCCCCATCCCCCGACGTAAGACCATGTAGAGATTTTATAAACCCACCCTCTCCCCCTAAGGACCCTTATGTAATCAATGAATGGCGCCTAATTTGCATTTTTAAAATTTAAAATATGTTTTGTGGTTCCTGAAATATGTTAAAAAAGGTCCGAGTATGTTTTTCTACAACTCAGTCGTCGATCATATACCTTTCGTTTTATAGTGAATAGATGGAAACATTTCTTTTTATATGTAGATTAAAATTCCTGAGTTTCATTGCAATTGGTTTACTTACTCTGAAATAACTGAAATCTTAATTGGAATTACACTCTTATATTTAAAAATTCGAAAATTCTTACAAAAATCTATTTTCTAAAAAGTGACAAGTATTTGTTATTTTTGAATTATTTTTTTTTCGGCGTAGTATTTACAAAATTCTTTTATGTAATATATTTTTCTCATTAATTTCCTTATTGTTGCAGTATATTTTCTTTCCGCGTTATTAATTTAATCTTCACTATATAAAATTCGTTTTTGAAGGTAACTTGTTTTATATGAAGATTTAATTAATCATAATAACTTAAAGTGGCATTAAATTTTTGAAAATAAAAGAAAATAATGAAGAAGACTATTTTAAAAAGTTTGTACATTTTATTTATTCAAATGTTATCGATTCTTCTCGCTGAAGAGAAACCAATAACTATTGAATTAAATACACCCCTTGGTAGAATAAAGGGATCATTTATGACGACAAGATTGGAAAGAAATATATATTCTTTTCGAGGAATGAGGTACGCAGAACCTCCTGTGGGTCGGCGAAGATTTAAGGTAGAACATTTTTTTATTTAACACGCAAAAAACGATATATTCGTAAGTTATTGCAGAATAACCAAAATGAAATTATCTCATATTGAGAGAAAATTTTCTTAAGCACTTTATTTAAAAACAAAAATATTTATTCTGAAAGTTTAGATAACGATTCTACTTTAATTTTTGAAAGAACGACGGTTGAAAACTGTAATTTTCCTGGTTGTTTCTTATTTTTCTCCTTTTCGTGTTTATTTTTAATTATAGAAAAGAGATATTAATATTTTTAGCAAGCAGAGCCAGTAAAACCATGGAAGGGAATTTTTGATGCTTCCGTGGAAGGACCAGCTTGTCCACAACCTGGTAACTCGTCAGACATTTCTGAAGATTGCTTGCGATTAAATGTTTATACAAATCAGGTAAATTAAAATTTAGATTCTATTTATTTTTATTTTTAATAGAAAAGATACAATTATAATCATTGTTTTTTAATTATATTAGCTACCGACTAGTTTAAACGCAGTGAAAAAGCCTGTCATAGTTTATTTCCATCCTGGAGCCTTTTATGCTGGATCTGCACAAAGTAATTTCCCAGGACCTCAATATTTATTAGACAAAGAAGTTGTGTTAGTTACTGTAAATTATCGTCTGGCCTCCTTAGGTATTATTAAAATTGTTCATTATAATTTATTTATTTTATTAACGGTCACTTTCATCAATTGAGGACACCAATGCAATAATCAGACGGACGCTCGGACCGGCCGCGCTGAAGCCAGTCAACGAATGAAAAAGTCGAAAAAATTAAAATTTTGATTTTTGAAATATACTACGTTGTAGAAAATAAAATGGCGCATCTTTTTTCCTTTAACTTTTTTTTGTAGAATGAATAGTTTTGACAATAATTGCAAAAAACTAAATATTTTCAATCAACAAATTTTATTGAATTTTTAAACACAAATCGTACCAGTTCCGACAAATATTAATGAATTTACTTCAAATTTGGTATACCCGCGCATTTAGGTCTAGAGAAGACGATAGCATGATGAAAAAGTTAAAAACCGTAAATTATTTAATTATTTATTAATTTAAATAATAACTTACCTGTACTCTCGTTTTCCTATCTTCGCTGACAAAAAGTCTGTGGGGAACTTTTTCGTTGAAAAAACTTCCAGTGAGACATTTGTTCCTCACATATCGAAGAAGTTTTGTGGAAAAATTCAGATCGATTTATTCAAAACTGACGAAGATACACAATTTTTAATGAAAAACACGCAACGCTTTGGCTGATTTGTGTGTTTATATTGCTGAACATCGACCTTATCGACAATCCCGTCTGGCAGTGTTGGATCGTGGATCGCGGAGTTATTTTGATTGGCGTTGCGTGTTTTTCATTAAAAATTGTGTATCTTCGTCAGTTTTGAATAAATCGATCTGAATTTTTCCACAAAACTTCTTCGATATGTGAGGAACAAATGTCTCACTGGAAGTTTTTTCAACGAAAAAGTTCCCCACAGACTTTTTGTCAGCGAAGATAGGAAAACGAGAGTACAGGTAAGTTATTATTTAAATTAATAAATAATTAAATAATTTACGGTTTTTAACTTTTTCATCATGCTATCGTCTTCTCTAGACCTAAATGCGCGGGTATACCAAATTTGAAGTAAATTCATTAATATTTGTCGGAACTGGTACGATTTGTGTTTAAAAATTCAATAAAATTTGTTGATTGAAAATATTTAGTTTTTTGCAATTATTGTCAAAACTATTCATTCTACAAAAAAAAGTTAAAGGAAAAAAGATGCGCCGTTTTATTTTCTACAACGTAGTATATTTCGAAAATCAAAATTTTGAATTTTAATTTTTTCGACTTTTTCATTCGTTGACTGGCTTCAGCGCGGCCGGTCCGAGCGTCCGTCTGGTTATTGCATTGGTGTCCTCAATTCCGGTTAAAAGTTAATCAGCAATTAAAGCCAATTTAACTGCTCATGATTGGTCGGTTAGGGATTTAATCGCTGATTAATTTTTAAACGGAGTTGGTAAAAACTGACTCTAAGTTACTTAAGTGAATTAATTTAATTGATCAGGATTCATAAGTACTGGAGACTCATTACTGCCAGGAAATCTCGGTCTTAAGGATCAAGTAGCGGCGTTACGTTGGGTAAAAAAATATATCGCGGCTTTTGGAGGTAATCCTGATTGCGTGACAATTACGGGATACAGTGCAGGAGGCTGGAGTGTCACATTACATTTGGTGTCACCCATGTCAAGGGGATTATTTCACAGGGTAATTGCAATGAGTGGTTCGGCTGTTTTTCAGGAACCATTTCCCAAACATCAGAAGCATTTAGCAATAAAGCAAGCTCAACTTTTACATTGTCCAACCGACAATGTTCAAAATATACTCAATTGCTTGAATACAAAATCTGCTGAAGAAATTGCTAATACTTTAGATGAATTCTTTGTAAGTACATATTATTTGTAATTTTTTGACAATTTTGGTTCCAATGCCTTCAAAAGAAAGTAATTGTATATGCTCTGAACATACCTTGATACATTAAAGCAGCAGTTGATATGATATCTTCAAACGATTCCCTGGTTCAATCAAACTGCAATTAGTTCATAACCACAATCCGAATTTAGTTCGATCAAAAGACTTAATCAGAAATGAATTCAGAATAATCTGGAATTTGTAACACTCCGATTTAGTCCGGTCAAAAAAACCTTATTTGAAATGAGTCCGAAATTTTTATGTGAAAAATACGGTGGTAGTCTGCAATAATTCGGATTTAATGTGGTCGAAAATCCTAATGCCAAATGAGTTCGGAAAAATTCAAAGTTTGTATGTACAAAACCAACTTATCCCAATCAAACTCATGATTCAATTCTGATCGATGTAATCCTACTACTGTCTGTGTAGATGTTTTATTCTTATTATTTTTATGCTCGTTAATACGTATTTTTAATGAACGTTTGGATTTCGTGTACTACTGAATGCGGAACTAGTCCGGTTAAATCTGAAATTAATCCGGTCTGTGCAACAAGTAAATCCGGATTAAGCATTCACTATAGTTACGTTTGAACAGACTGACTTTAGATTAGGCCGAATTATTTTTCGATTCACTACAGTTATACAAACTGTAAAAATTCCGAACCAACCTGAACTAAATCCATAGATGACAAAAAACTGATCATAAACAGAACTGCTTCTGACTTATTATGGATTAGTCTGAAATTTTAATTTAGGGTATTTTCAATCTATGACACTGGTGTTTACTTTAATCAGTGATATAATTTAAATCAACAAATATAGATCCAATTGATTATTGATAGTTTTCAAAAATGGAATCTGAAATTTTAATTCAGTTTTTATAATATACACATTTTAGGAATGGTATGATAATCCAATTTGGATTTGGACTCCAGTAATTGAGCCGATAGTTCCTGGGGTTGAAAGATTTCTCACTGATGACCCAGCAAAATTAATAAGGGAAGGAAAATTCGAACAAGTTCCATTTATAGCAGGTGTCACTAGAGATGAAATTATAGATATCATAATACGTGGGTGGAAATATCTGTTGCATAATTTTCAATTGTAAATAAATATAAACAATGCATTCGTTTTATATTGTATAATATATTTTGATAGTGGCAAAAGAAGAAGCTAAAAAAGGAAACTCTTCTATGTTCAATGATTTGAATACAAAGTGGGAAGAAATCGCACCTATTATATTTGTTTACGAAAGAAATACTACTAAATCAAGACAAATTAGTAAAGAGTTAAAATCATTTTACATACATGATGAACCAATTACTGTTAATAATCTTCAAGGAATTGCAGGAGTAAGATTCAAAAAAAATTTATTAACTTTAATTTTCTTTTAAATTTATTTTTATGTTCTATTTACTGCTGTTATTTATATTTTTAGATTTATCGTGATTCTTTAATTTCGTATTCAGTGCATCGCCTTATTAATTTATTGTCAGCTTCATCGTGTAAACCTGTCTATTATTACCACTTTATTTATCAGGGAAGATTCAGTCATGATTTGGATCCTGATACAAACAAACCCTATGGTGCGAAATATAAATAATTTATACATTTGTAAAAAAAGAAATTATTACTAAATTCACTTTTTTCATATATTAAAATTTGTTTTAGGTGTTTCGCATCACGATGACTTGATGTATATTTTTTACATTAAACAATTTCCACTTTTCACAAAAATTGATCCAGAGACACGGATCGTAGAACGAATGACGGCTATATGGGAAAATTTTGCTAAAACTGGAAAACCAATTCCTCGAGATAATGAAGTATTTAAAAATGTTTCATGGAAGAGATTCACACCTCAGTGTAAACGATATTTTGAAATTGGCAATGAATTTGTCATGAGAAATGGTCTTATTAATCCCAGAGAAATGGCATTGTGGGATAAATTGTTCCCCCTGCCATGAATACAAATACATTAAGGAGAAAAATAGCTATCTTAACTAAAATTAAATTACATTAGCTAACCCCAATTGCTATTATATAGATAGCAATTATTGCTAGCTAATACAGTTCATAATTAGCTTCCATATAGCTAATATGTTTTGCTGTGGCAACTAAATATTAGCTACCAAACCTAAAAATCCGCTATTCATATAATAGTAAACTCATTTTTCTTCGTTAATTATTTTACTGTTTGATTTTTATACTATAACTATATACATAATAAATCTTATATTTTTTTATCGGTTGCAATGATGATTTAAGGGTTGAAAATAGCAGTTGATATATTAATTTATTAATTAAATTTAATGCGAGCTATAAGCGAAATAGTTGCTATATGTGACGCTCCACGAGAGAAGGGACCTATATCTCGGAAATATTAGTTTTCATGTACGGTGCATGGAAAACTGAGCCTAATGTTATTTTGTAAGCAACTGAGGAATCCCCTTAAATGTTTACGTAATACTTGAATGACCCCAAACCACACTGTAAATCCCCGAGTAATGAGTTTCAAGCAAATCTGATAAACTTAGGATACAAGAACGATATGTTTTATTTTTAGAAGCAATTATATTCACATTTTCTTTATCATTTACAGAGAAACAATAAAAAAAAGCGAATAAAATAACATTTCAAAGAAGTGACAAGTACTTTTTATTTTTAAATCATTTTTTCAGCATATTATTTACAAAATTCTTTTATATAATGTATTTTTTTCATTAATTTCCTTATTGTCGTAGTGTATTTTTTTCCCGCGTTATTAATTTAATCTTCAGTAGACTAAACACTGTTCTGGAGGCAACTTGTTTCATATGAATAATGTATTAATTTCTTTTTTATTATCATCTCATATTAATTATAAATACTTAAAAGTAGCATTAAAATTTTGAAAATAAAAGACAAAACAAAATGAAGAGGACTATTTTACAATGTTTGTGCATCTTATTTATTTCAATGGTATCGGTTCTTCTTGCTGCAGAAGAATCTAGCACTATTGAATTAAATACACCCCTTGGTAGAGTAAAGGGATTATTAATGACGACCAGATTGGGAAGAATGATCTACTCATTTCGTGGAATGAGGTACGCAGAACCTCCTATGGGTCGACGAAGATTTAAGGTATATAATGATTTACAGTGAAACCCACACGGAGAGAAATTTATGCTACTGGGTAACATAATGATGTTAAGGGCAACCATATTTAGTGCTAAATATACAGACAGCGATATAGATTGTAGTATTTACTATCAGATGATTATAGAAATTTGATTGTACAATTTACAATCTTTGATGTTAAAAATTTTATACGATCTCTTTACGTTCTCGAGTGGCAAATATACACGAACCTAACCTCGCTTTTTTTGTAAACTTAAATAATTTCATTTTATTTTAATAAGACATTTCGATAAGAATTTAAACTTTAAACTTTTTACATAAAAAAGAGTATGTCTATTTTTTCACTCCGTCTATAAAAAGGACTTGCTTAAACATAAATATATTTATCAAACGGTATATTTTTTTCACAGAGTCAATTGAATTTGTATTATTTTACTAATTTTTAAGTTTAAAAAAAGTAAGAAAAAATATGAAAAAGTTTTTTTTTCCAAAAAAAAATTTCAATAAACACATGTACATTTATACAAACGAAAAAAAAACTTACTTGATTTTTGTAATCTTGAAATTTTTTAAAAAATTTTAAGCGAGGTTCTGGTTTTGGTATAATAAGTGATATTGTATCATTGTCCAGTAAGTAAAACGATTCTTCATCAATTTCACCGTCTAAACAACGCAAAATTGTTTTGAGGTTATAAACACGTTGACACTTCAATCTTCGCTAATTCAATCAAAATAATAAACCTACCTCCAAAAGATGGAATCAAAGATTCCATATTCCACGACATTAATAACTTTTTAACAAACTCGTCCATTTTTTTATTCACAACTTTTTTCACTATATATAAACACGTGCGTGAAAACACAAGGACCGCAATTGAATAGGCGAAGTATACACCACAATCAGCGCATGCGCTCACATTTAATTTTTACAATATTTGATAGTAGTGACTACAATCCAAAAGCTAACATATTTTACGTCTTTGGGTAACATCTTGGATAGTAAAATGTTGATAGTAGATTCTTGTCAGTAACAAGTACCTTGTACAATCTTTCTTTTTCCTATCAAATTCTTACTATCCATTTCTCTCAGTGCACGTATATCCAGAGATGGGTAAGTATCATACTTCATGTATGTTACCTAAGTTTGCTACGTATGTTACATGTGTATACAACTTGTCCAGTTTGCTACACAACGTTTGTTACATTTCATGACGTAGGCACTCGTAATGGTCAGAAGCAAATATAACCTCAATCTAGTTGGTTCCGCTATGTGTTTAGTCTTTGAATTTTTGTTTGATTGATTTGATTGTTTCTAAAAATCAAAAAGATCTATATTTAATTTTTCAGAAGCATTGACGAGATTTTTTTGTAGGATTATAGAAATTCAAAGTAAAGAGTAAAGACATATAAAAACACTTATTAACTTAATAAAAATTATTAAACTGAAGTGCAATAAATTATTATTTAAAGAATATTTCATCTCTTTATGTAGATCTATTTACCTGAGTTGCCTGAGACATTATTATAATTTATCTGATAAGGCCAACGCACAATAGATTCGCGAAAGTCGTTCGCGAACGAGATGCATGAGATAGAAAAGGATACGAATATATCTCTGTCCTTTTCTAACTCATGTTTCACGTTCGCAAACGTCTTTCCCGAAGATATTCTGCTTAGGCCTTTATGATGATGAGGCGAGTCCGAGTTGACATCCAAAAAGTGAGGTTATATTTATAATATGGTTTGCGACGTTTGCGACAATTTGTTACGTATACTACACATTTTAGGTATCATACGTAGCAAACCTTGAGTTTGCGACATTTACCCATCCCTGCGTATATCGGATTTCAAGGGACCTGAAAAAAATCCGATGTAAGCGGGAATCCGAATTATGCGCGTGTCCAATATATGTGGGTTTCACTATATTAGAGTCATATTGAAATTTACTTATTCTAATCTGTAAATTGAAAACTGTAAGAATCAACAATTCTTTTAATTTTAAAAGAAATTATATAAGTATAATTATCCAAAGTTTATCTTTAATTAAATTTTAAATTTAGAATAAAAAAAGGTTTTTGTATAAAATTTAATAATGTAAAATAAAAAAGAAATATTTATTGAGACACATGTTTGACATGTGTTTCAATATTGAAACAGTGATATTTCATATTATTAAATTTTTCACAAAACTTTTTTTATTCCAAATTTTAAATTGAATTACAGGTAATTTCAAAACGACTCAAATAATAATAAAAGTCAAAAATTATATATTACATTACTTGAAAGTTTTAAACATAATAAATGTGACTAATTCGAAGTGTTTCTTATGAGGATACAGAATTCTGTGTCATATTAAGACTAATAATAAAAAGCGTTTAGGTCAAAAATTAAAAAATCATCTTTTTTTTAAAATAATGTTTTTTTATTTAAAACGCAAAAAAAGATTAAGTTTAAGTTATTACAGAGCAACAAAAATTAAACAATCTCATTATTAGGGAATTTTTCTTTTTTCTAGTTTATTTTGTATTTTGTTTATTTTTTTAATTATAGAAAAGAAAAATTAACATTTTTAGCAAGCAGAGCCAGTAAAACCGTGGACGGAAATTTTTGATGCTTCCATTGATGGCCCAGGTTGTCCACAACCTGGTAACTCGTCCCTCATTTCTGAAGATTGCCTGCGATTAAATGTTTATACAAATCAGGTATTACTGATGGTATAATTAAATTCAAATACTCGATTACTTGACTATTATCAAATAAATATTTACTTGAGCCAAATAATTATTAAATAATTTTTATTTGAATTAAATAAACTGTATTTAAAGCAAATACCATTTAATCGAATCAAATAATAATTATTTGAAACAAATAAATATTTATTTGATAATAGTCAAGTAACAGATTTTTTTAAAAATAATTTTAATTTTTAATTATATTAGCTACCAATTAGATTGAACTCAGTGAAAAAGCCTGTCATAGTTTATTTCCATCCTGGCGCTTTTTACGTTCGATCTGGCCGAAGTGAATTTCAAGGACCTCAATATTTATTAGACAAAGAAGTTGTTCTAGTTACTGTAAATTATCGTCTGGCCTCCTTAGGTTATTATAATTGTTTGCTATAATTAATTTGTTTTACTATGTTATTAAAGTAAATTAATTTAATTGATCAGGATTCATAAGTACTGGAGACTCATTACTGCCAGGAAATCTCGGTCTTAAGGATCAAGTGGCGGCGTTACGTTGGGTAAAAAAATATATCGCGGCTTTTGGAGGTGATCCTGATTGCGTGACAATTACGGGATACAGTGCAGGAGGCTGGAGTGTCACATTGCATTTGGTGTCACCCATGTCAAGGGGGTTATTTCACAGGGTAATTGCAATGAGTGGTGCGGCTGTTTTTCAGGAACCATTTCCCAAACATCAGAAGCATTTAGCAATAAAGCAAGCTCAACTTTTAAATTGTCCAACCGACAATGTTCAAAATATGCTCAATTGTTTCAATACAAAACCTGCTGGAGAAATTGCTAATACTTTAGATGGATTCTTTGTAAGTACCCATTTTTTGTTTTGGTAAAGAGTGAGGAGGTAAGAGATAGGCGGTATCAGGAACAGCAAGCAGGAGCGTCTGCTTTTAGTGTACCGTTACTTTACAAGCAATTTTATTGGCTTATTAATTACTAAATGGTCAAAATACTATTAATTATAAAATGACAACTTACAATACTTTATGATAAATACAAAATTTATTAATATTTATAATAATATGTAGAATGTATTCTGCTAAAAGCACTAGTAATTCATAGTACGGCCCTGAGTGTTACGTGCTACATATGAACATTTAAGAAGGGTTACCAGCCTGAGTGACCTGAGGTTAATTTTTCTTCTAATGCACGGTTTGATACCCATATTTTTTACGAGGGGAGTAGAAAATCTGCATAAATCAAGACAGATACCTGGAGCCCGGTGCTCCGAGGTTATGTGGGGATGACCGTTCTTGTTCTGGTCGACCCACTAAACACCACACTCTTTGGCTGAACTAATCCTCACACTACGGAACTGCCGTCAAGCTTTAAAACTTCGTAGGAGAAAGTCCCTGGGATTTAGCTATCATTTAATACTTGGCATTGGTTCTTGCAAGAGTCTTCTTGGCTTCCTCGAGGGCTAACCTAAAGACTCTGCATACTCTACCTCTAGCGACGTGGATGAGAAGAACCTTGTCGCCGGGCTTCGTTTTGCACTAGAAGCAACTGGGGCTGCTCTTGCAATCTGCAAACTTATGATCGTTCCTCCGCACTTTAAGCACGCAGCCGATCTGTCTGTTGCCTTGCAGCTTCTTGCTAGATGGCCGTAACCTAGGCATCGGTGACACCGGACGACCATGACTCTGTTTCATATTTAGCAGCACATAAAGCCAATCTTTATGCGCCCCAATTCCTTCAGTGTGGCAGCCTCTTCTTCGTCGGTGACAACAATTGCGAGTTTCATTTCTCGCTTGTTGGGTCCTAAGACCGTCACCTTCCTGCGTCCTGGCTTTCCAAGTTCTCGTTCCAGCGCTTCATGGACTTCTGTTTCGTGGCTAAGGACATCCAGGTCGCGGATATGGAGTGTAACCTTTCGATCCACCTTACCTATGCTGCCAACAGCCTTGATCACCTCGGAGGTAAAAGCTACCTTGTCCAGCCCTGATCAAGAGGTCTCCCTTTTTAGTGGGCCTTGCCACCAGGACTCTCGTGAGGTTGATGTCAGGTTTAACTTCCTTGCGGAGCTTTCCCAACAAATCAGCATACGTTTTATCTAAAGTGACTCGGACGACCACTGTTGATCCTCTCCAATCCTTCGTCTTGTTAGACTGCTTCGGCTTTGGTGCCTCCGTCGCCTTGATATCCTTCCTGAATGGAGGTGCTTCGTCCATTTTCTTTCTTACTTTAGCTTTTGTCTCTTCCAGACTGCCGGTACTTCGTTTATTCTTTTGCGCCCATATGACCGCGCATCGAAGACATTTCTTATGAATACATTCTCCCTTGTTGGTTCGGTCCTCCCGGAAGCACTTCCTCTTCTACTTCTAAGTCTTTCTAAACGGACCTGGGAAACCTTAAGAAACTGGGTGCCTCCATGGTCCATCTACATTGTGGCATTGAATTCAGTAGTATTAAAATCATTGCATTTTGCTTTGGCTTGATTAGAATTAGATTTTACAACAACAATACAGGCATTCTAAGCAAGATTACCAGTTTTTGAAATTAGAGCGTGTTCAAAATAAATTTCTCCGTTTCTCAATAAGGTGTATATTAAAACATATTTAGTGATCATTACACAGATTTAAGATCACTTATGGTTTAAAAATTCTTTACAAGAATTATTTTTTTGGTTTTATAATTTTTCAAAATAGTTAACGGATTAGTCGATTGTCCGTTGATATTATTAAGCATAAATTTTATTGTTCCTTTAAAGGAATTGATAAATCAGAGATTATTCAAAATACAATTCACCAAGTGTAACTACTTAGACAACAGTGTAATAAATAGAATTTGTACTAGAGCGATTAAATAAATTAACTAAAATTTTTTGGTTAAAAAAAACCAGAATTTGGTTATATATTTTGATATATATGTTCATTTAAGGAATGGTATGAAAATCCACTTTGGGTTTGGACTCCAGTAATTGAGCCGATAGTTCCTGGGGTTGAAAGATTTCTCACTGATGACCCAGCAAAATTAATAAAAGAAGGAAAATTCGAACACGTTCCATTAATTGGAGGTGTCACTAAAGATGAAATTACTGGTTATATAATAAGTAAGTGAAAATATCTGTTGCATTATTTTTAAATGTGATTAAATTAAAAAATAGCATTTTTATTATACTGTGTGATATATTTTGAAAGTGGCAAAAGAGGAAGCTAAAAAAGGAAACTTTTCCATGTTCAATGATTGGAATACAAAGTGGGAAGAAATCGCACCTATTATGTTTATTTACGAAAGAAATACTCCTAGATCTAGACAAATTAGTAGAGAGTTAAAATCACTTTATATACATGATAAGCCAATTACTGTTACTAATCTTCAAGGGATTGCTGGAGTAAGATATAATAAAACTTTTTATCAGCAATTCTATATATAACATTGAGGGGTCTACTCTTCAATTTTTTCCATACTACGTTTTAGGATAGAGGTAAGAGGTGAAATTGAGCATACAATTTTGCTCGGAAAATATTGTAGTTTGAAAACAAAAAATTAAATTTGATAAATGGAAAATTTTAAATTTATTTATTTAAAAATTAGAATTACAGCTTCCAACGCTATACTCAAAAACGTAGTATGTAAGAAATGGGATCCCTCAATCTAATATATGGAATTACTACAATAATAAATTACTTTAATTTTCTTTTTAATTTATTATTATATTTTATTTACGGTATTATTTGTGTTTTCAGCTTTATCGTGACTCTTTAATTTCATATTCAGTGCATCGTTTTATCAATTTACTATCAACTTTATCATGTGAACCTGTCTATTATTACCATTTTATTTATCAGGGAAGATTTAGTCACGATTTGGATCCTGATACAAACAAACCCTATGGTGCGAAATATAAATAATTTATACATTTTGTGAAAAAAGAAATTGTTACCTTCTTCCTATAAGATTATAATATTTATTTTAGGTGTTACACATCATGATGATTTGATGTATATTTTTTACATTAAACAATTTCCGCTTTTCAAAAAAGACGATCCAGAGACACGTATCGTAGAACGAATGACGGCTATATGGGAAAATTTTGCTAAAACTGGAAAACCAATTCCTCGAGATAATGAATTATTTGAAAATGTTTCATGGAAAAAATTTACACCTCAGTGTAAACGACATTTAGAAATTGGCAATGAACTTGTCATGAGAAATGGTCTTATTAATCCTAAAGAGATGGCATTGTGGGATAAATTATTCCCTCTGCCATGAATAAAAAAACATTTTTAATGTTCGATTTTTATACTATATACAGAAAAAATATTTATGGGAAAATAATAAAAAATACAATGTGAAAGAAAGTTGATAAATTTCCATCTCATATAGAACATAATTGAAAAAAATAATTCACTTTTAATAAAATAATATTTTATTTAGGTCAAAGAATTTATTTGCAGTTTATGATCCACTGTTCATGATTTTCAAAAATCAAAATGGCGAATCCAATATGGCGGACATTTTTAAAAATCGGTTTTTCAAAATTTTAAATTGTTAATCCAATATGGCGGACGAGTTTTTGAAAAATCACTCGAATTTACTCAGAATCTGTTACTACTCAGAATTCGAGTGATTTTTCCAAAACTCTTCCGCCATATTGGATCCGTCATTTTGAATTCTAAAATTCTGACCTCATATTTGTGACCTCAAAAATTCCCGAGTTACAGATTCTGAGTGACTTTGATTGATTTTTAAGAATAGAACATTCAGAAAAAAATGATTTATTATGTTCACAGAAAAAAACTGAACTCAGAATGATCCGTGTAGGCGGCTCATTTTGATTTGCAACAAAAATGAGACTAGGTTTTTTCTATGTTATTATTTTTCAACTTTAAGATATTGTAGCTGAAAAACTGGCCATTATTTTGAATTTTGTCATTAACATTTTTTTTTTTTTGTTCAGAAGGTCTTAAACTACAAAACTGCAAAGTTTGAGAAATATTTTGTCTGAAAGACAATTTCTGTAGAAAAAGTGCGGGGTCCTTTACCCCTAATAACACAAGATATCTTGGGATATATTGATAATATCCCGCAGATATCCTAGGGATGTCCTATGGATATCAAAAGGATCTCTTAAGGATATCCAAAAAATCGGAGGTTTGGATATCCTTTTGATATCTCTATAGACTTTCATAAATATCCTCCAGATATCCCATAGATATTGTCAGGATATCCCACAGATATCATCAGGATATCCCATAGATATCGTCAGGATATCCCACAGATATTTTCAGGATATTCTCAGTATATCTTCTGGATGTTAAGAAGATATTCTCAGGATACTGTTTTTAAAGTCATTATGAGACTACGAGTGAGAATATTTTGTGAATTAAATTTTATATAAATAAAATAAAATGCAACTTGTTTTTCGAGAAAATTGTTTAATTTGAAAAATTATTAACTAATTTTTTTCTCATTCGTGATTCATTCCTTTATTCATATGCTTAATATTGTCAGAAAATAAATTGGCTTTAAACAATATAAATTCTTCCCCGCAAATAACGAATAACTATTAATATTAATTATACATTAAGTGCATGAGTTTATTTAAAAACTTTGAAAAATGTGTTTCAAATCTTCATTTAAAATAAATTAAAAGCTCATAAGATTTTTGTCTTTATTATATTATTATTCATTATATTAGCTTAGCAATTTTAACCTTTAAAATATATATGTTGAGATATTAAATATCCCGTGAATATCCTAAGAATATCCCACGGCCATCCTGAGGATATTCCATGGATATCCTGCGATATAATATCCAATATATATTTTGTGGATGTCTTAGGGATATCCTGGGGATATCTTATGGATGTCCTGTTGATGTCCCACATACCAGCGGTTTGGATATCCCAAGATATCCTGGGGACCATTCTAGGATAACGACCATTGATATGGATATCCTATGGATATCCTAGGAATATCCTTTTGTTATGAGGGACAGTTTGTTCTGGATGTAAAGGATTTAAATGATGTTATATCAAATGATATTTGGAAATTTGTATGTAAATTTTTAAATAAATAAATATTTATGCAAAGTCAACTAAATATGGATTATTATTTAAAATCCAACGCAAATTCGACATTCTTACGCCATCTACGAAGTAAACTCTCAACCCTTTGGCCAATTGGCGCAAATGACAATATTGCCGACTTTCGACAGATTTTACTCTTTATAAAATTATCCACAAATAATAAATAAATTATATTTGGAAAAAATCCATTGGCATTAAATATATTACATAGATCTCTATTTATCTTATTGATAATATACAAAAAAAACTGATTATTTTTTTTACTCATATCCAGCAATTCTTTTTTTTATATGCTATAGAAGGGGGGAACTGGTCTATGGTAAATTTTCCTTAGTCACGAACCGGTCGCAGACCTATAAACAAACGTGTTTTTTTTTTAAAAAATCATTTCTGTACTTTTGAAATAAATTTTCAATTTAGTACTTAATGAAAAGGGATAAAAAATATTTTGTCGATAGTGTGAGAAAGTGACATTAATATCATCAAACTATTGTCATAATTTATAATTAATTACTATCATAATTTAGGATTAATTTTCATTATTTCAAGTAAGTAATTGCAATTCTATTTTTTACAATTGCTATATTTATAATGTATAAAGTCCAGTAGAAGTAAAAGAAAATAAAAAAGAATAATGAGAATTAATTTAACGAAGAAGATTCTGGTAATAGTGTATAATAATAATGTAGTCAGATTTAATGATTGTTGATATTAATAAGATCGTTGTACTTTAAATGGAGCATTCTTTTTATCAAGATAAATATGAAGAGTCATGAAAATTTATCAGTGATATATTATTGCAGTTTGTAGAATATGATTTTACAGTTATTACTTTATATGGGACAGTATTGCATCAAATTAATCATCAGTTGATAATATAGAAGTCGGGTGATAAAAATTATTAAGTGAGACATTTTAAAGAAGGAAAATATTATATATGCGCTTATCAATTTTTAAATTAACGGAACAATTAAAATACATGTTTTAAATTGCAATAATTAAAAAAAAATTCATTGACTTTCAGTAAAAGAAGATGTTACGTCCAATATTATATTACACACTGACGAGTCCTCCAAGTAGAAGTTCACTTCTTTCAGCTGCTGCAATTGGTCTCAATTTGGAACTTAAAGATGTTAATCTGGCTAAAAGAGAACATCTTAAACCGGAATTTCTAAAGGTTTAGAAAATGTATTTTTTTGGCAAATTTAATAATATGTTAATTTATAAAAATGAAATTTACCAATAGGTGCGTTGGTAATTTGGGACGCATTCATCATCGGAATTTTTTGTGATGTCTGATTAAAAATTATCAAATTTTTTATTTAGCAGAATTTTATAATGAGCCGAATTTTCATATCGAAGAATTTTTATTTAACAGAATCGCTTTTTGACAGAAATTCTACTTAGCTGAATTTTTTAAGTGAGAAAATTTCGATTTTCTATTTGACCGAACTTTCACATATTCGAATTGTCCTCATTGAAATTAGCACATTCAATCATACATTTGATCCAAAAATTTCAGCGGCAATTTTAAAATCAACCAATCATAATTTTCTTAATAATTTTTGATTAGTGGATTTTAAAACTCCCGCTGAAATGTTTCGGCCTGGTGTATATGTAAAAGTTTTATCAAATAGAAATTCTATTAAATCAAAATTTAGTTAAATATATAGAAATTCTTTGATATGAAAATTAAAATTGTTGTAAAATTTTGCTAAATAAAAATTTGATAATTTTTAAACAAAATTTTAAACTTAAATGAGAAAATATTAATTTTGGATTACTGAAAATTATCACTTTTAAGTTATGTGTTTTGTTTAAATTTTTAGATGAATCCTCAACATACTTTGCCTACCTTGGATGATAATGGATTTATTTTATGGGACAGGTAATGTAAACTGTCAAAAATTTGGGGAGTTAATCAATGGCACCTGCTCTGTTGAGAGTAAAATATTTGGTGTTAAAATTTAACACCCTTTTTTTAACAGTGTATATTTATTCTAGTTATTATATTATTATATTATTATTTAAGATTTAAAATTATGAATTATATATGTAATATATTTTTAAATAGGATTCAAGATTTCTTGAATTTTCAACTAATTGTTAAATAATTTCAGCCATTCTATTAATACTTATTTGGTTGGAAAATATGGTAAAAATGATAAACTTTACCCGAAGGATCCTACTTTACGAGCAAAAGTTGATCAGTGCATGTATTTTGATTGTGGCTCACTTTTTTATGCAATGTCAGTCATATTCATTGTAAGTTGTAATAATTTTTGTCAGAAGAAATATTTAGCTGTTAATAACAAATATTCTTAAAATAATAAATGAATATTCTAATTATTTAAAAATGAATCTTCAAAAATTTAAGAATGTGAATCTTTTATAAATTTAAGAATAAAAGAAAATAATTTAATTTTTTTCTCAAATATTGACAGGCATATATTCTTAATTTTAGAATAAATTTCTTTTATATGCCCTCTTAATTTGAATCAGTGAATTTCACTGATTCAAATTAAGAGAGTGCATTGAGAAAATTAAAATAATTTACTCTCTAAATCTGAATTAGTAAAAATGTTTACTAATTTAAATAAGTGACTCACTTTTTGCTTCTGAATTAGTAAAATTTTACTAATTATTAGTAACTTTTACTAACAAATAGTAAAATTTAATTAATTCAGAAGCAAAAAGTGAGTCACTAATTCAAATTAGTAAACATTTTTACTAATTCAGATTTAGAGTGTAAATGATTTATTTTGAAAACTATTAAATTTCAGAGACCAGTTTTGTATAAAGGTGAAAAAAGCATTGCAAAGAATGAAATGTATTTGATAAAGGATGCGTATAAAGTTTTAGAAAAAATGCTAGATGGTAAAGAGTGGTTAGTTGGAGACTCTTATACATTGGCTGATATTTGCAATGTATGCTCAATTTCTACACTTGAGGCAAGTTAAAATTTGTGTAACTATGTATGGAATTCGTTTTTCACTTTATCTTTTACTTCGTCTTTCACTTTTATTTTAATATGATCGAGATTCAATTTTTTTTTCTATGAAATGTCATTTTAACATAAAATTTAAAAAATAAAAATTTTTTATCTTTTACTTTGACAAAAATTTAATTTTTTTTGGGTTAATAAAGTAAAAGTAAAAGACAACATTTTTAACCCCTTAAACTGTCAAAATTACACTTTATAGAAAAAAAAATTGAATCTTGTTAATATTAAAATAAAAGTGAAAGACAAAGTGAAGAACGAATTAGGTATACCTAATCGATTCCCTGCTCTAAAGTGAAATTTCAAGTGTTTCAAAACTGTTATCAGATTTAAAAAATTCAAAATGACAGAAGTTTTCAAAATTGTTCGGATTTGCAGGTATTTTTGGACTCGCTAGTTACAAATCTGACATTAAATTTGAATTTAGCGACTACGAAAATCCCCGAGTAACAAATTTTAAGTGAATCCAATCAATTTTTATAAAAATATTCCGCCATATTGGATCCGCCATTTTGAATTTTTAAAAACTGTCATCAAATAATTATAATTATATAATAATAATATAATAATTATACTTAAGAAATAATTTTTTATGCAGCTTCTCAAACCTATTGATGATTATCCAAATATTAAAAAATGGGTTAAAAAATGCGAACAAAATATTCCTGGTTATGCAGAATGGAATACACCTGGTGTGGATAAATTTCGTCAAATTATGAAACCACCGACATCCAATTTGTAAGTGTTTGTTATAAAAGAATTGTGAAACAAAAATATATGATTCTTTATATTTTTTTATAATAAATGTTTAAATTTCCTGTTAAATCATGAGAGGGAGAAAAAAAAAGAAGAGAATAAAATTACATTTTTGAAAATATTGTAGTTTAATATTTATTTCATAAGGGAGTGTAGTCAGGGTTGGACATAGTTTTAATTTTTCTCTATAACTTCTCCTGTAGGTCGAATTTTGAGATTTCTCGCATATGGTTCGAAAGATCTACTAAAATGCAATGTTTTTGCTGAACATTGTAAAAATATTTGATAAAAAGTTTCAGAATTAAAAATTAAAAAAAAAAAAAAAAAAAAAAAGTAGTCACGGTTGAACCAGGTTGTCAGGGTTGAGCCACTGTAGAAAATCAATGAAATATGCAGGTAAATGATTAATAATGACCTTCAAATGTTAGAATAGCGTTCAAATACACTTGGAAATGTGTAAAGGAACCACAAAATTCAAATAAAAAGCCGTTATTGTGTAATTTTCAGATTTTCGCTTGTATCGCGAAGCTGGTCTGAAAAGTGAAAAAGAAATATCAAAAAATTTGTATTTCCTTTCTTTCCAACGGAAATGAAGTTTTGACACCTCTTCAAGTCGACAAATGAATTTCCATTGCAAGAACCCTTTCATAATTGCAAAATGTTTGGGTGGCTCAAGCCTGACTCACGCGTCGTTTAGCGTCACACATAACATCTTAATGAACAATTTTAGTCAAGTTACTTGGTCTTTGAAATATTTTTTCGGCACTTAATTGTCTTCTTTTGAAACAACAAAAAAGTTTTTTGTTGATCGTCTAGCAGTGACTCGCATAATACGTCTTTATTGCTCGCACACTTCACTGCAACGTATGTGAAAAGTTCCCTGACATTGCTAACAAATACTTACATACAAAGACAGATGGCTCTAGTGTGATAAAACAAAATAAACGCGATGTCTCAACCCTGACAATTGTCCAATACTCTCCTCTACGCAGAAAATATAAAATATGACATAAATAATTTGATAACATTTGAAAATAATTTAAGATTATTTAAATTTTAATTAACTAAATTTTTAGATTTTTTTTTACCATTTTCACAATTAAATAAAGTAATAATATTAACAAATATGGAATAAGATATGATGAAATTTATTTTCTCCATTGTACCTACAATTTTTAAAATTTTATAATATATATTATCCCCGTCAATTATTATATTTTACCTATTAAATTATTATTATTAAAAAGTCCAAACATAAATATGAAATATTTCCTTCATTTTTTTTTATGACATGAATAATACATGTTTATTGACTACTTTTAAACTTTTCAGTATATCATATGAGGATAAACATAATCTGATTCACAATATTGAGTCAATGCTTGAGTTAATTTTAGAAATTTTCAATGCTTGTAAACAATGTTTTGAAATCATAAATAATAAAAATTAAGATAAATTTCGACCTAGTAAAGAAAAGTAATTTTTCAAAACCTGATAAATCTATTTTTGATATTTTTTTTTCAAAAAAAAAAATTTCATTGCATAATCCAAAATATTATTCATAAAAATAATGTTTAAAAAGAATTTTCTAAAATGAATTTATCAGATTTTGTTAATTTGCTTATAAAAATATAACAATAATAATACCTTTGTAAATGAAAACTCTTTTTTCAGTTTTAGTTTATTTACAAAAAATACTTTTTTTTAATAGATTATTTCAATATTTTTTAAATCGGTATTTTTTTATTCTTAAAATAATAATATATTCTTATTAAAAAGTAGATGTTATATTATATTTTTAAAGTAATATATACACTGAATTTAACTATAAGAAATTAAAAAGCATTAATCTTCAATGGATTAAAATATTGCATCTTTTTTGGTATTAAAATAATACCCTACGATTTACTGTGACGTATTTATTTGTAAATTTTGAATTATTATTTTTTTTTTATTATTTTCCTCCTTAATTTCCTCGTTGTGGCAATATAAATTGTTTCCGTGTTATCAATTTAGGCTTCAGTTTAAAAAATTTGTGTCTTATATGAAGAATATTTTAATCATAATTATTTAAAGAAATATTCAATTTTTGAATATATAAAAGAAAACAATATGAAAATGACTATTTTACAAAGTTTGTGCATCTTATTTATTTCAATGGTAACAGTTCTTCTAGCTGCAGAAGAATCTAAAACTATTGAATTAAATACACCTCTTGGTAGAGTAAAGGGATCATTTATGACAAGCAGATTGGGAAGAAAAATCTATTCTTTTCGAGGAATGAGATACGCTGAACCTCCTGTGGGTCAACGAAGATTTAAGGTAGAACGTTTTTACTCGTTTTTCTTTATTATCTTTATTTTAATTTAGTTTTTTATAAAATAATGTGACGGGAAAATCATTCTTGACATTATTTCGAATATTTTGAAATGAACAATTATGTTGATCGACCATCTTAAAATAAGGGTAAGGAGTCTGAGGTCAATAGTTCACCCCTGTGACCTTAGATCGATCTAAGCGCCAATATTTAACTAATTGGACGCATTGTCGAAAATCGTCGGTACACGCACTCTTTGTTCGACCGTTCTGAATGTAGTGCGTTTGATAATTGTAGTGTGTTGCAAAGGAATATATTCGACAAATTTTGTAATATCGTCAAATTGTATGTTGCCACTGAAACCGACGAAGAGTCGATACTCGATCAACTCAAGTAAGTGTTTGATGTCTGATTTTTATTTTTGAAAATAAACAAAGGACCCAGCACAAAATACATTAAAAAAAGGTCTCGGTGAAATTTCTTGTAACTTGGCAATTTTGTAGTTTTTGACCTCCCAAACAAAAAATGTAAATGGCAAAATTCAAAAAAATGGACCGATTTTTTTTATTTTAGGATAAAGTTGAAAATAAGCAGTGTAAAATTCGAAAATTCTCACAATTGAGTAAAACCTAAATAATTGAATTAACTGTCTTGAAAACTGATACTCTGGAGTTTTCGTGGTCGCTGATTACGAATCTAATGTTCATTTTTCAAAATTCAAAATGGCGGATCCAATATGGCGGAAGAATTTTGAAAAATCGCTTGGATTAGCTTGAAACTCGATAATTTTTGTAAAGAGGAGAAGTTAAGACAAGGGGTTGGGTTAAAATATATTTATTTTATGACAAAATATTTTTTTTTATTTTTTGTGAGGGTTCCCGAACGGTTCCTGCTTTCTTTTGCTCATATAATTATTTGTTAATTTTATTTAAATTACCTGGCGTCCGCGTGCTTAAATTTTATTATTTTATTTTTCTTCTAAGAGCCCAGCACCTTTGAACCCGGTCGCGCTGGTAAGAATATAATTTTACTTTTTACTTATTTGAGCTTGAAACGTATTAAACCCTTTAATTTTGACTGATCAAAAATTATATTCGTCTCAAGAAATTAACTTTTTTTAAAATTTGGGCCCGACTTTTTTTTTAATAAATACCCATATAATAAGGACGAGAAGAACAAAATTTTCAAAACTAATTGGATTCGCTTGAAAATCGTTACTCGGGGTTTTTTTGAGTCGCTGATTACCAATATCAGTTTGATTTTCAAAAATTCAAAATGGCGGATTCAATATGTCGGACAAGAAATTTAAAAAATAGTTGGATTTGTTTGAAAATCGTTACTAAAGGGTTTTTGGGGTCGTTGATTACGAATATAACATTGGTTTTCAAAAATTCAAAATGGCGGATCCAATATGGACGATGAATTTTTTAAAATTATCCAAATTCGATTAAAAATCGTTACTCGGAGGTTTTTGGGTTGTATTCGTAATCAGCGACCCCAAAAATCCCTGAGTAACGATTTTCAAGCGATTCCAATTAGTTTTGAAAATTTTGTACTTCCCGTCCTTATGGATTAATGAGAGAATTTGCAATTCACTGAAATTTTATTGATTTATCATTTTTATTTGCACGAATTGGTATTTGATAGATATTTAAAAATTTCAAATTTTCATTTGACCGAACAAATAACTAATAGAAACATTTCGACGTGATTTTTAAAATTTACCAATTTGACTATTTGCCGAATTCTGTCACTTATAAAAATTGGAATCACTTAAAATTCTGTTGCATGGGAATTCTGCTAAATTAGAATTCTTTTAAATAATATAAAAAGTTTAGTAAAGAGAAATTCTGTGAAATAAAAATTCGGTAGGTACCTAAAAATGATGATAAGTATGAAATAGTTATTCATATATAGCTCTGAAACAAGTGTATTTTTATTTAACTCAAATACACAAAAGATAAATAATATAAATATTCAAAAATTATTTTCAAGGATATATTCTCAATTTTAGAATATTTTTTTTTGTATGTGAAATTCTAGTTTATAGAAAAGAAAAATTAACATTTCTAGCAAGCAGTTCCAGTAAAGCCATGGACGAAAATTTTTGATGCTTCCGTTGATGGTCCAGCTTGTCCTCAACCTAATAACTCACACATTTCTGAAGATTGCTTGCGATTAAATGTCTACACAAATCAGGTACCACTTATATTTTTCAATTATGAAAAATTATATTTTCTGGCATTTATTCAAAAAGTGTTTAAAAAATTTTAAATCCATTATTGGTATATGTACGAGAAAAAATTTTTTATTATATTTTTATTTTAAGAATCGATTGTATTAAAATATTGTAAAGTATAAGTGGCAAGTATTTATAATAATTTGAGGTTATTTCTTTTTACTATTCGTATATGCGAATCATTATTATGAGGATAATAATAATAATTATAAAAATAGAAATAATAATTCAATTTTTTCCTGCAGGTACAATGAAGAAAATATTTAGTGTCCGAGTAAACAAAATCTGTTTGGCCCAACCAAATAATTTTTTTTTAGTATATAAGCAACCAAAAACACTCATTTTTGTTGCGCCAACCAAATCTTTTTATAATACCAATCAAAATATTGTTCTTACAATCAGAAATGCTCAATTGAACAATTTTGTTGCAAGCACTTAATTTTTTTTCCTTAATGTATTAAAAAGAACAAATGGATTATACTGTTAGAATTTTTTATTTAAATAATATCTATTTAATTAATTTTTATTTTACCTGGTACTTATAAAATTATAATTAGCATTTTTTAAAATTAAACATTAGCTTCCAACTAAATCAAACGCAGTGCGGAAGCCTGTCATAGTTTATTTTCACCCTGGTGCCTTTTTCTTTCGATCTGGCCGAAGTGATTTACAAGGACCTCAATATTTATTAGACAAAGAAGTTGTTCTAGTCACTGTAAATTATCGCCTGGCATCATTAGGTTCGTTAATAATATTTTAAGTAATAAATGAAATATCATATATATTCACGGTGGTCTAGAAGCAGTCACAGGTATTAATAAAACATTAATAAAAATTTAATAAAGTAATAGAAACAGATTTACTTACTTTGAAAGATAGTTGCAGTTGAAAGCAAAGGTTATATTGACAAATTAAAAATGTCAAACGTTGAATCTATTGAAAAACGACTAACTTCATATGATTACTGGATTTTTTTATGCAGAATTCAACTTAACATTTAATATTGATCTAAATTCGAAAGTTTTTTACGGGGTATTGATATTTTATTTTCACTTCAAACCTTTACGGTTTAATATTGTCATTTAATAGCTTATTTTTTTACTTACCATTATTTTTTAATAATAAATATACGTTTAAGATTGAATAAAAATAATAAAAACATAAATATTTAAGTAAGAAAGGCGAGCGCTTTTCGCTTGACTTTGCGCAAGAAGATTGAAAAAACGGAAATGTCGATATCTTGAGAATAGGGGGCTCTAGGATTTTGGTCTGAACGAATTTTTAAACTAGAAATAGTCACGAACAAAACCCACTTTGTACTTTTTATACCCATTTTTGTCATACCTGTGACTGCTTCTAGACCACTGTGCACTTTCATGCGTTTAAAGCTTATCTAAATTTTTTTCTGCTGCATAAAATTAATCCTGGGAACGTAAATAACAACTTAAAAAAATATATAAACCGGCAAATATTACCTTTTAAAGGAAGAAACTTACGTAATTTGTGAAAAATAGCGATTTTGTCCCCATTTACCCCAACTGACCCTAAGTATTTTTTATTAAATTATTAAAGTGGATTAATTTAATTGAACAGGATTCATAAGCACTGGAGACTCTTTACTGCCAGGAAATCTCGGTCTTAAAGATCAAGTAGCGGCGTTGCGTTGGGTAAAAAAATATATTGCAGTTTTTGGAGGAGATCCTGATTGCGTGACAATAACAGGATACAGTGCAGGAGGCTGGAGTGTTACATTACATTTGGTGTCACCCATGTCAAGGGGATTATTTCACAGGGCAATTGCAATGAGTGGTTCGGCTGTTTTTCAAAAACCATTTCCCAAACATCAAAAGAATTTAGCAATAAAGCAAGCTCAATTTGTAAATTGTCCAACCGACACTGTTCGAAATATGCTCAATTGCTTGAATAAAAAACCCGCTGAAGAAATCGCCAATACTTTACTGCAATTCTCTGTAAGTAACTCTAAAATCAAAAATTTTTATTAAAAAGAAGAATCATGATATTTAATTTAAGTTAAATTTAATTATTGTACCTGAAATTAACACGATTATCATTTGGTCTAGGAAAATTAGGATATCCCTAAGATATCCCAGAGATATACCTTAACCACAAATTCTAGTTGGAATAATCAGAATTCTGGTTATTATAATAATCAGAATTTTTTTTTAGTGCATTTGTAAATTTTAGGAATGGAATGGAAATCCAATTTGGATTTGGACTCCAGTAATTGAGCCGATAGTTCCTGGGGTTGAAAGATTTCTCACTGATGACCCAGCAAAATTAATAGAAGAAGGAAAATTTGAACAAGTTCCATTTATTGGAGGTGTTACTAAAGATGAATTCGGTGGTGTTATTATATGTAAATATGAAAATAGCTCGAGAATATAATTTTACAATTATAAATTGTTACATAATTTTTAATTTAAATTATGTAAACAAAAATGCATTTTATTATATTGTATACAATTTTTAAAGTGGCAAGAGAGGAAGCTAAAAAAGGAAACTTCAGTGCATTCAATGATTGGAATACAAAGTGGGATGAAATAGCACCTATTATTTTTATTTACGAAAGAAATACTGCTAGATCTAGATATATTAGTAGAGAGTTTAATTCATTTTACAATCATGATAAACCAATTAGTCTTAATAATCTTCAAGGGATTTATGGAGTAAGTTGATTATTACATAATTTATTAATTACAAATTTTGTTAGTTAATGAGACTTGAATTTTCTTTTTCGTTTAGTTTTATATATTTTATTCACTGAGAAAAAAATTTATTTGAAACAATAAAATTTTGATATCAATCAAATAAACGTATTGCTATACAGATAACAAAATTTAAGGTTGAGTAAATCAAAATTTAATTTAGCGCAAACAAATTCTTTCTTCGTTCAAAAAATGTATTAAAGTAAACCAAATGTTTATTTAGATCAAATAAATATTTGTGTGCTGGGATTGAAAATTTAAAAATTAACTAATAAAAGATGTAAAAATGACCTTCGACTTGACTTAAAATCCTTGGTAAATTCTAACAAATGGTGGCAGCGGTGGGATTCGAAACTATACGCCACCAGTTGTTAGAGTTTACCAAAGATTTTAAGTCAAATCAAAGGTCATTTTTACATCATTTATTTCCCTTAAAATTTCAACCCTAACAATGGGTATCGAACAAATTTTGTTTGAATTATCAACAAAATTGTGTTGATACAAAAAAAAATGGTATATTTGATTCAAACAAAATTTTTCTCTTTGTCTTTCACTGATTTATCTATGTTTTCAGCTTTATCGTGATTCCATAGTTTCATATTCAGTGCATCGCCTTATTAATTTATTGGCAGCTTCATCTTGTTTACCTGTCTATTATTATCACTTTATTTATCAGGGAAGATTTAGTCACTATTTGGATCCTGAAACAAATAAACCCTTTGGTGGGAAATATATATAAATAATTTATACATTTGTAAAAAAAGAAATTATTACTAAATTCACTTTTTCCATATATATTAAAATTTGTTTTAGGTGTTTCGCATCATGATGATTTGATGTACATTTTTTACATTGAACAATTTCCGCTTTTCAAAAAAGACGATCCAGAAACACGAACAGTAGAACGAATAACAGCCATATGGGAAAATTTTGCCAGAACTGGAAAACCAATTCCTCGAGATAATGCATTGTTTAAAAATGTTTCATGGAAGAGATTCACACCACAACGCAAACGATATTTAGAAATTGGCAATGAACTTGTCATGAGAAATGGTCTTATTAATCCCAGAGAAATGGCATTGTGGGATAGATTATTTCCCCTGCCATAAATACGAAAACTATTTTTTATTATCTATGTATGTCAAAAAATTAGGTTGATTTTTGACCTAACCAATTTTTGGCACAGAAAGAACGAAATATTTTTTTTAAAAATTCTTAAATTAACCCCTTCACTGTTATTGACCTCTATAGAGGCATAAAAATATCGTGCCACCAGTGTGTGTATGACCGCTATAGTAGCATCTAGAAAAAAATAAGTAGACACAATACGATAAACTTGTCAATGGGTATTCTTAGGTATGGTAACATCAAGTTTTTTTTTTTTTAATTTTTTTTACCACATACGGGGCACGGAAGCTTTATTTCTGCTACACAGCGAAGGGGTTAAGAGTTTCGTTTTTGCTTTGAATGTATGAAGTTTATTCAGTTAAGTTACATTAAGTTAATTACTTTGTTTCTCAATGTAAAAATTTGAATCTTAAAATAAAATATTAAAATTTATGGAATTTTATTATAATTAAGGCTCTGAATCTTAAAAGTGTCTACGTTCGAATTTGCATCACAAGTTTAGGTCTCTGGAGTTAAAATTTTAAAATTGTTCACTATAACAGTTAATTCTTATCGTTGGAATTTTTTTTATTGAAAAATACAAAATTTTAAACACCAGAGGCCAAAACTTGTGATGCAAATTTTAGCGTAGGCTCTTTTAAAATCAACAGCCCCAATTGTGACCTTTAATGAGTTAATATATTTACCAAACGATATTACTCTACTTATTTGTTAATGTGATAAGTATAGAAAGTAAAAAAAAAAAAAAATATACTAGTTAATTTCCCTCGTTGTCGTAGTATAAATTTTTGTTTCTTTCTTTCGGATTAAGAATTTGGTGATATTCTTAGAGGATTATCTCTAAATTTTCAAAATTCTAAAATTTTTCCAAAAATTTGGACTTTGATCGAGTGTAGATAAGTAAAATCCACAGAGGAGGAATATTAATAAATAAATTGTACGATAAAATGGTAGAGGAAATTATATATATATGCAAATGAAAAGAAATTACGAATTTTGACAATTTTAAAACCATTCAGATCTTTTAATTTTTCTTGAAAAATGACAAAAACTTTTTCATAATTCACTTTTGTATAATTCCCACTGAAATTATTAGAGTAATGTGCCGAATTTAAGGAAAAATTCAAACACCAACCAATAAAATTTTAATTAAAGCAGTTGTTGAAATTTTGACTTTAATGGAGAAAAATTCAGCTAATAAAATATGACTAACAAATAAATCAGAATTACTAGCAATTCGGTGTTTTAAAAATTCTATCAATCAAATAAATATTTACTTGAACCAAATAATTTTTATTTGAATTAAATAAATATTTTATTTGAACAAATAATTTCTATATTTGAAACAAATACCATTTAATTGACTCAAATAATAATTATTTGATACAAAAATAAATATTATTATTTCATAATAGTCTAGTAACCGATTATTTGAATCGGTTAAAAACTCAAAGTTTTTTTTTGGTCTCCCTTCGACTTTGTCTTATTGAGAATTGACTGTATATACTAATTTTCAAAATAAAGATTCTTGTTAATAATTTTTTTTTAAAGTGGATAAAAACATTTTTAAAAAAAAAAATCCAAGAATTATCATTAAAATAAATAAATATTTAAAGTATTTTTTGTAAACAAAAAAAATTTCACAGTATAATAACAATTACATTGCTCTACTATTCTTGTTTTTTTTCCACGTATATTATATCTATCGCTTGTCTGACGCAGTATAAAATGTTTCACTAGACTCTTTTAAGCTTCAGTGTACAACTGACATTTGTGCGCAACACATCCAATTAACAGTGATTTTATATTTAAATAACAGAAAAAAATAATCGCGAATACTAAAAAGAATCAAAATTATAAATTCGTCCAAAAATGGGACGATATAAGCAAAAGTATTTGTACATTTCACTTATTCTCATTGGTTTGAGTATTTCTTCGGCCGAAGAATCATCATCATCATCATCATCATCACCAGAGACTCTTGAGTTAAGTTCATCACTTGGAAAATTGAAAGGTTCATTTATGACAAGCAGATTGGGAAAAAAAATTTATTCTTTTCGTGGTATTCGTTATGCAGAACCACCTGTGGGTCAACGTCGATTTCAGGTGAGAATCAATTCAAAATAATATTGTATCAAAAATCCAAAATATACAATTGAAAAAATATATAATACATGCTCTTTAAATGTGAATTAGTAAAAATGTTTTTTAATTTGAATTAGTGGCTCACTTTTTGTTTCTGAATTAGTAAAATTTTACTAATTATTAGTAAATTTTATTAACAATTAGTAAAATTTAACTACCTCTAAAGCAAAAAGTGAGTCACTAATTCAAATTAGTAAACATTTTTACAAATTCAGATTTAGAGAGTGTACTTTACTATACGTATAATAATTTGATATTAATAAAACTTTGGAATTAAGATCGCGTCAATTTTTGAATTAACATTTAATTACAATTGTCCATATAATGAAACAATGTGTAAATAAAATTATATTGTTTCATTAGTTTGTGAAGAAATAGATTATGTAATGCAAGGGAAGTTGTATAATGTACCTTCCTTTTATCCTTATTTCCGAGAATTTTTTTTTTTTTTTTTTGTATTTATAAAATTCTTCAAGGAAATGGAAATGATTTTTTAATTTAATATTTATATACTAATAGTATAATTTTATGAAATTTATTTTATAATATTATTTCATAATAATAATTTATATATTATAAATGTTTGTAAGGTTTACTTATTTAAAATTAAACATGGACTTTCAAAGAAAATTAAGTTATCATTATTTTCATTTATTTTCATTTATTTTATTATTATTATTATTATTATTATTATTATTACTATTATTATTATTATTATTATTATTTAATTATTATTATATTATTATATTACATTTATATAGGATAAAAAAAACATTTATTTGAATTAAATTAAATGAAACGAAGATAATTTTTTTTTTTTTTTAAAAGATAATTTGTTTGATACAAATAAATTTTCTTTGTATCAAAGAAGAATTTGTCAAAAAAGTTGATTTCTTTGAATTAAAGAAAACTTTTTCTGGTCGAATCATTTTGGATAAAATATAAATGTTTCAATTGAATTTGAATAACAATTATGAATAATAATTATAAATAGCGAAATAGAATAAAAAATTTTTTTGTTATGCTTGAATAATATGAAATTAATAAATGAAATTGGAATAATTAAATCTATTAATTAATGCTTACTTTAACCAAATTTTCTTTATTTAGTTTCTAAGAAACTACTTTCGACCGAGGTATGAAGAAAAATGTTTAGTCAGAGCAATCAAAATTTTGTTGGTATATTTAAGCAACCAAACTATTTGTTTTGAGTCAATCAAAAAATTTGGTTGAGTGTTTTTTGTTGACCTAACAAAAATGTTTGGTTGGGTCAACCAAATTTTTTTGGTTAGGTCAACAAAAATGTTTGGTTGATCAAACCAACAGTTTTTTTTTGTAAAATTAAAAATTTGATTCTACCTTATTTCTTTTCATTTTATCTTTTTTATTTATTAGCAATTTAACGTTTAATTTATATTTACCCAATTGAAATATTTGTGGAATTTGAAAAATCTCACTCACTTGGAAAGATTCCCCGGAAAGTTTTTTCAAAATTTTTAGAGTCCTAATTCCGTCGGAATTCCGTCGGAATCCCATAGGAAATTCTTTGGAACTCCGATGGAATTCCGACTGAATTACGTTGGAAGTTCCGGCGGAATTCTGATAGAACCTCCAGGGTTCATTTTCCGGGGAATCTTTTCAAGTGGGGCATGGGAACAAACCTCTGTTTTGAAACTGCGAGTCGGGAGCTCTGACCACTGGACTACCCATCTTTGTGAGAGATTTAAACTAATTAATTATTCTCTTAAGCTACGTGCTGAGAGCGAATTAAATTATTTGCTTGTCGTAACAAAATTTTCGTTAGGACAACAAATGATCATTCGGTTTTTTAAACTAAACTATTTTGTTGTATTAACCAAATTATTTTCTTGTCGTAACCAAATTTTTGGTTGGAATTTAAAAATGTTGAACCAAATAATTTTGTTGGCCTAACCAAATGATTTGGTTGAGATAACTCTACGATTTTGTTTCAGTCAACCAAAATTTCGTTACAAGAAACAAAATTGACTAAACTATTTCCGGAGAAAAAGTTTCCCAAAATTCCTGACAGTTTAGTATTTATTTTGAAAGTTGTAAAAGTTCTATTATATTTTTGAAATTCATTTTTTCTTCGTGTATACAGAAAAAAAACTTATAGTTTCATTTTTGTTGCAACTCAGAATGAGTCAATGCTAAACGACATAGAAAGTGGCGCCACCGCAACCTGGTTCATTTTTTGTTGCACATCAAAATGAGCCGCCTACACGACTCATTCTGAGTTCAGTTTTTTTCTGTGTAATAATGAGTATATACCTATCATAAAATAATTGTAATTATTTTAATACAACCTAATAATAATAATAATATTTGTTGTTATTATTATAAAATTATAATAATAATATAATAATAATTTTTTCTGGAAAGTTTGAAGAAAGTGATTAGAAGTGAAGATATTTATATAATATAATGAGGACCTTGACTGAAGGCAGAAAACGCTATGATAAAAAGTAACAGTCATATGACTTGGACGAGATGCGTAATAGTTTTTAAAGTCTCATGACAGGAGTTGTCTTAACAACTTCATCCGTCGCAATGGTGCGAGAACATAATAATTGAGTGGTTCTTAAAGAACCTTTCAGTGAATCATCTAGTGTCAATGTACAATAAATGCTATAAACCAGTATATATATATATATATGTATACATTTATACATTATAGTTACATATATATATATATATATGAATTAATTTAGCCTTGAGGTAAATCGAGATTTGCATGTTTTATAAACAACGCAAAGTAGTTTTGATGTTTGCTTCAGTTAGTGCAATAATAAGAATTTACGTGAAAAATACGCGTTTCATTCAAATACGTGATTAACTATATATATATATGTATATATATATATGAACGTATATATAAACGATGCAACAGGATCAAAGATTTAATTGTTGGCGCGAGATTAGTTCCGACTATTAACAAGATTACCTTTTACACGCGATGAAAATGGATTTTTAATAGTTTTACACATAATTTTGCAATTTTTCATTTTCTTAATGTTATACATTTTTTTTTTTTTTTTTGCTATGTTTGTTTAATTTAAAAAAGTATATAAATAAAGTATAAAAAAATAATAATTAATAAATATACAGAAAAATGAAATTTGAGATTTTAATATATTTGTTTGTTATTATTATAAAATTATTTTGTAGCGAATAAAATATTCTGAAATTGAAAATATATAGTTTCTTTTTTCATTTAAGTTACAGAATAATTTCAATAAAATTATGAATTAAATGTATATAATTCTAAAATACGGAACAAATATCATTGTATACTGATATAAAATTTATTCTGATTTTAAAAATGTATCCTTGGCACGTATTTTAGAATAATTAAATATGTATATAAGAAAAATATAAAAAAAATCTCAGGTTTGAAAATTTTGAAAAAAAAAAAAAATTAACATCATTAATCGAATGGACTTATGTAAGCTTACAAGTAATTACAACAATTTCAAAGGGAACAAATTCTTTTCACGGTTTCGATATAATGAACAATTGTGTATTGTTGATTTGGTTGAATGGATTCAATCAGAAAGAATCGAAAATAGGTCAAATAATTGTTTAACAGCGTACGCATTTTTATTTTTCTTTTTTTGTTACTTTGGTACTTAGAATTTTCCTTCATCAACATTTTATAATCACTGAAGGTTATTAAAAATAGGCACAAGGATTATTATATTCATAAAGGAATACAAAAATATTCATAAAAGAATACAAAAAATCATTTAGTTAATTATTATTATTATTAGGTATTTTTAATTACATCCGAGAGATTATAAAATGCGATCGTTTTCGAAATTGTACGTCAAAAAATAAATATGATCGATTCCTCTAAACTTACATATATGTCATACTCATACACAAATATATATTTATATATAACAGGAAAATATTTTCAAGTGATAATTATAAAAAGACTTTTAACTTAATACTTCAATGTGAAACGCAGAGTTTACTACCAATTCTTATTTAGCGTGTATTGAAATATAATTAAGATAAGAGTAATCGTTTCACGGAAATTGTAAATTTTAATCAACTAAAAATTTTTATTTTACGACCAATGAACTGTTTATTACTATAGCTAATTAAGTATTAATATATTTTCATAAATGCAAAGTGTACAAAACCAAAAATTTGCCTATATATACAGAAATGATAAAAATACGTATTATTATGTTATTTTTTTCATATAAGAAACGAGATACAACATTTATTTAACTATAAATTTAAAATCTGATCTGTTTCTCAAATAAATAAATTTTAATAAATAAATAAACTTTAAACTTTAAATCTAAAACTATAACTAGAATTTTAAAATTTAAATTAAATTTGTCGATTTTTAAAAAATTTTTTAGCCAGCTGAACCGGTAAAACCATGGACAGAAGTTTTTGATGCTTCCGAAGAAGGACCGGCATGTCCTCAACCGGAAACTAAACTAATGTCGGAAGATTGTCTTCGATTGAATGTTTATACAAATGAGGTAAGAAATAAATAACATATAGAGTAATTGCAACATTTTGAATTTTCAAAAATCAACTTCAAATTCGTAATCAGCGATCTAAAAAACCCCGAAGTAAAAAGTTTCAAGTAAATCTGATAAAGTTTCCAAAAATCGTTCGCCATTTTGAATTTTTGAAAATTAATATCAGATTCGTCAGATTTCGTAATCACCCAGATAGCAACCTTGCAGCAAGCTTGCCGCGCAATATTGCCAACCTTGCACGGCAAACTTGCCGCAAGCATAAAATGTCCCACCTGACCCAAGCTTGCATGGTAAAATTACTGAAAGATTGCAGTATAAGGTTACTGCAAGATTGCACAATAAGATTATCGCAATATTTCTCAGTAAGCTTGCACGGTAAGCTTGTAGCAAGGTTGGTGCAAGGTTGCTAGAAAACCTTGCTTTAAACCTAAACAAATTTTTTTTAAAAATGCTTCGTCTAATTTATATAATAAAATTATATAAATTAGACAAAAAAATTAAAAAAATTTAGGTTCAAGCAATGTTATTTGGCAACCTGGCACCAACCTTGCTACAAGCTTACTGTGCAAGCTTACTGAGCAATCTTGCGATAATCTAATTGTGCAATCTTGCAGTAATTTTATACTGCAATCTTGCAGCAACCTTACACTGCAATCTTTCGGTAATCTTACCATGCAAGCTTGCGTCAGGTGGGACATTTGAAGCTTGCCGCAAAGGTTGCCGCAAGCTTACGTGCTATCTGGACAGTGACTCCCAGAAACCCTTAATATGGATCGTCTGAATTAATTCAACTAATTTTTAAAGCTTTAACAACAACAATAATTATATTTTTTTTGTTTGCATTTTTTTAATCCAGGCGCCATATTGGTCGTCCATATTTATATTTTCAAAAAAGCCATACGGCAAATGAAACTAGACATCTCATTAAATAATGATAAAAAATGAATTTTTAGTTACCTGATCAGGATAAGGAAGTGAAGAAGCCAGTTATAGTATTTTTCCATCCAGGTGGCTTCTATGTTCGATCGGGACAAAGTGATCTTGAAGGTCCGGAATATTTATTGGACAAAGATATCGTTTTGGTTACAGTTAACTATCGTCTTGGTTCCTTAGGTCTGTAAAAAAAATAACTTTTTTTTTTTGTTATTAACTTAATATGTTACAAAAATACTTGTATTAACCACAACATGCAGAAATAATCTAATAGAAATAAGAAAATAATCTTTTATTTTCATTTTAAATTCAATTAATTGTCATTTTTTTCTTTTGTTAGGATTTATGAGCACTGGTGATTCTCTTCTACCAGGAAATCTTGGACTCAAAGATCAAGTTATAGCTTTGCGTTGGGTAAGGGATAATATTAAAGAATTTGGTGGAGATCAAAATTCCGTGACAATTACTGGGTATAGTGCTGGAAGTTGGAGTGTTTCTTTACATTTGGTATCGCCAATGTCTAAAGGATTATTTCACAAGGCAATTGCAATGAGTGGATCAGCCATTTATCAAAAACCCCTTCCCATGGAGCAGAAAAATTTAGCTACCAAGCAAGCTGAAATTTTAGGCTGTCCAACTGACACTGTTGGTAATATGTTAATTTGTATGAATACAAAAACAGCCGAAGAGTTCGCTAATTCTTTACCACACTTTTTCGTAAGTTTTTAAAAAATTTTCATCACTGTAGAATAAAGAAATAATTATATATATATATATATATATATACTAGAGGGGCTGCGCCTCCCTGCGCGCTTCGCGCGCCAACCCCCTATTTTTAGCGGGAAATACAGAGAGAGATGAGGGAAGGGGGAAGGACTTACTGCATTATTAGGGTCTTAAAACAAACATAACCTCAAAATTTAGGTCAATTTTTGGTGGAGGAGGGGAAATGAGAGGAGGGAGGGGGGACTTGCGGATATATTCAGAGCCTTGAAACGAACATAACCTCAAAATTTAGGTCATTTCTGGCGGGGGAGGGGACTTGCGACTATATTCAGAGTCTTGAAACGAACATAACCTCAAAATTTAGGTCATTTTTGACGGCGGAGGGGAAATGAGAGGAGGGAGGGGGGACTTGCGGCTATATTCAGAGCCTTGAAACGAACATAACCTCAAAATTTAGGTCATTTCTGGCGGGAGAGGGGACTTGCGACTATATTCAGAGTCTTGAAACGAACATAACCTCAAAATTTAGGTCATTTTTTACGGCGGAGGGGAAATGAGAGGAGGGAGGGGGTACTTGCGGCTATATTCAGAGCCTTGAAACGAACATAACCTCAAAATTTAGGTCATTTCTGGCGGGGGAGGGGAGGGACCTTGCGGCTATATTTAGAGTCTTGAAACGAACATAATCTCAAAATTTAGGTCATTTTTGACGGAGGAGGGGAAATGAGAGGAGGGAGGGGGACTTGCGGCTAAATTCAGAGCCTTGAAACGAACATAACCTCAAAATTTAGGAGGGGGGACTCCCCCCTCCTAGGTCAAGAATTCTTGAACAGTGGCGGCGGCGGCGATATCTTTTTGTAATATAGGAAGATATAGATATATATATTTAATCGGGAATCGCAAAACTGCGATACTCCATCTGGTGTCGACCCACTTGTGGTAGTCATTTTTCGTTCCATCTCTCTCTTAATTATATTAAAGAGAGAGATGAAATATCTCGATAGCTATCACAACTGGGTTATTTTTACCATGATTCCCTATGATTTTTGATCCCAATGCAATTTTTTATTTTTTCATTTTACCATCAGTCGGCAATATAGATTGCTGCAAGTTGGCAATGTTTTATAAAGGTTCGTTTTACCATCAGTCGGCAATATAGATTTCTGCAAGTCGGTAATGTTTTATAAAGGTTCATTTTATCATCAGTCGGCAATATAGATATCTGCAAGTCGGCAATGTTTTATAAAGGTTCGTTTTACCATCAGTCGGCAATATAGATTTCTACAAGTCGGTAATGTTTTATAAAGGTTCATTTTATCATCCGTCGGCAATATAGATTTCTGCAAGTCGGTAATTTTCTATATTATGTCCATTTTACCCTCGATTTTACCATCAGTCGACAATATCATAATCGTAAATCGGTAATTTTTTTATATTTTTATTTTGTCACGTTTGTCAAAGTGCCTTACCCCCACCTCAGTGCGGTTTTCATAGCTAAATTATTATTTGTTGCAGGAGTGGCACGGTGATCCAATTTTAGTATGGACCCCGGTAGTAGAACCGGAAGTTAATGGAGTTGAAAGATTTCTTCCAGACGATCCGGTGAAATTGATAAGTGAGGGAAATTTCTCACAAGTTCCGTTCATTGGCGGATTCAATAAAGATGAATTTGGTGGAGTTATTTTATGTATGTATGAAATTAAATAATTAGAATGCTTATTCGTTACTTATTTTTATTTATTTTTTTTTCATTAACTTATATAGTTGAATAAATTTGTAAATTTGTACACAGTGCCGATATCAGAGGCAAAGAAAGGAAATAATTCGCTTTTCGACGAATGGAATACAAATTGGGATCATATTGCACCTATTAGCTTCCTATATGAGAGAGATACAAACAGATCGAAAGAGATTAGTAAGGAATTGTATGAATTTTACAATCACAATAAACCAATTGATCTTAATAATCTTCAAGGCATTGCCGATGTAAGTTAAATATTATAAATTTTTTAAATTATAAATACACCGAGAAATTTACTGATACTTGGTTAAATGAGACTGCAAGAAATTGATCGATTCACGCACTTTGCACACAGAGAAAAGATTTCTTTGATTTAAAGAAACCAATGTCTTTGACTTGTTTTCTTTAATTCAAAATAAAATTTTCTTTTGAAACAAAAAAAGCTTCTTAGTTTCAAAGAAATTAGTACATTAAATTAAAGAAATTCTAACATTGATAGGGTCAGTTGGGGTAAATCAAAACAGTAGTTATTTCAGTTAAATAAAAAATTTTAAAAATAAATACGGCCTCAAATCTTGTTGGGGGTGATCTAAAGTTCAAGAATTGAGACCGTATTTATTTAAAATTTTTTTTATTTATAACTGAAATAACTACTGTTTTGATTTATCCCTTCTTTCTATTTACCCCAATTCAAAAAAATTTCTTATTGATTATGATAAATTTTGTTCTCATCTAACTTTAAATTTTTGTTTATCTTTCATATAATTTTCAATTCAATACTTACGTTTTTAGTTGTACTGTGATGGTGTAATTGCATATTCTGAACATCGTCTTGTGAACTTATTAGCTTCCTCCTCCAAGATGCCTATCTATTATTATCATTTTATGTACCAGGGAAGATATAGTCATGTGGTTGATCCTGAAACACAAAAACCTTATGGTAAATTTTAAATAAATTAATTATACTACAAGTGCACTTCAATAATAATAATTTTTCGATTTTAGGTGTTTCACATCACGATGATTTGATGTATTTATTTTACATTAAGAAATTTCCATTCTTTAAAGAAGACGATCCAGAAATAACAACAGTCGAGCGAATGACAGCAATTTGGGAAAATTTTGCTAAAACTGGCAAACCAATTCCCGAAGAGAATGACTTATTTAAAAATGTGACGTGGGAAAAATTCACTTCCGATAATAAACGTTATTTAGAAATAAGCAATGAGCTTACTATGAAAGATGGCGTTATATATCCTGAAAGAATGAATTTGTGGGATAAACTTTTTCCATTATAACTTAAAAATTATTCAATAATATTAAATTCACCTTCACTGATATACTTTTTACATTTAATAATTTAATTGTATCGCTTGTGTATATATTGTTTTATATTTTCGATATAATATTATTTGTTATGTAAAAAAAAAAAAATATTTTATAATAATAGATAAAAGAAAGTTAATTTTTCACTCTTAATAAATGATAATTTTAATAAAAATAAATTATCCATAATAATAGAATATATTTTGTTTTTAATTAGGGTCAGTTGGGGTAAATGGGGATAAGAGTTTTTGGAGCTTAATTTACAGTTCTAAAATTAAGTTCAACGTCAATATTTTAACCTCTCAGATCACTTGCAAGAGGTTTTGAGTATTGCCAAGCTTTTATCTTGACAATTGGCAGCAAGATAAAAAAAGTTATCGCTCAATGCATAAAAACTTGAAAATCAAAGTCAAACTGTTTCAGTATTTTATCGAGCATTTCAAAGAAAACAGACTTAAAATTAAATCCAAATTTTTTTCTTATTCCTTACGACTCCCATAACAGAAATTCACTTGAATTTTTCATTTTTGTTAATTTGGTTAATAATGACAAGCTGTCCCCATTTACCCCAAAAATTTGAAAACTCAGGGTAAATGGGGACAGCTTGTCATTATTAACCAAATTGACAAAAATAAAAAATTCAAGTGAATTTCTGTTATAGGAGTCATAAGGAATAAGAAAAAAATTTAGTATGATTTTTAAGTCTGTTTTTTTTCAAATGCCAGACAAAATACTGAAATAAAAAAAAAAAATTCAATCGGTTCAACTATTATATATATCTACTACAAATTTTTTTCAAGTTTTTTCATCCCTGAATACAGTAATATACTTAAGGAAACTTTTTTCTTAAGGGTATGTGGGCAAAGGACGTTTCTTAGTGGTTTGAAACTTATTCTGAAATAAAAAATAATTTTGGGTTAAAATTTTGGAGAAATGATTTAGTTTGGTACAAGGAATCTTGCTGTTCTAATCATTTGCCATAACTTAACGCAAAAATAATGAAAATAAAGCAATAAATAGTAAAATAATGTATTATATCATAGTTCATTCAGCGGCCACTCGCTCGAATTGGCGCTGTTTCCTGGAGCACTGACACACTCAAGCAACGTCTGTGTATGCGCCGCCATCTTTGTTTTCATTTTCGTTTAAAAATGACACTTTTTAAACTTCATTTTTGAATAATTTAACTCAAAATTATGTTTTTTTCGGAGAACAGCGAGATTCTTTGTACCCTAATCTATCATCCCTCAACATTTTAGACAAAATTCTTTTCTCATTTTAGAGTGAAACGTATACTATCAAAACACATTTTCCCATACTAGGTCACGTGGGAGGTTCCCACATAACCTTAAAACTTTCTTAGAAACTATGCTGTCCCCATTTATCCCAAATTTAATGAAATTTTCTAAATTTTGGGGTAAATGGGGACAGTCAGTTTCATGCGTTTAAAGCTTATCTAAATTTTTTTCTGCTGCATAAAATTAATCCTGGGAATGTAAATAACAACTTGAAAAAAAATAATCCCGCAAATATTACTTTTTAAAGGATAAAACTTATGTAATTTGTGAAAAATAGCGATTTTGTCCCCATTTACCCCAACTGACCCGAATGCTTTTCTTAAATTTAATTTATTTCTATATTTTATCCAAATTAATGTGCATCAAAGTAAGTGATAAACTTAAAAAATAAAATACTTCAGGTGATTAATAAAAATAATGCGAGAAAATATATAATTATATCATCGTGATCCAAGAAAATTACTAGTTCTCATATAATAAAAGTAAATGAGCCAATTTTCAAATCTCAATAGAAGTCGAATTAAGTAATTGAAAGAAGTCAAGGAAAAAAAGATTATTTAACAAGTTTGTGTAAATAAAAAAAAAATTGAAATATATTTTCAATATTTACCAATTACATCTAACATTAATAATTATTAATTAACGTTATTTTTTAAATTCCATTAATTATATTAAAAAATTGGTAAATTTCTTTGTTTTATGTAATCAAATTAATTTTTTGTATTCAATCAGGTAGGGATAATAATGGCTCATGTTTTTAAAATAAATATTTTCTTCTTTTTTTTGAACATAAAAGACATTGTGGGAACCATAGTCTGTGAAGTTTCATATTATAGACAATATTACCAAACAAGGATAAATCGTGAGTATACAATAGATATTTTTTTTAAATCAGAGAAAACATTTATTATAACGATATATTCCTCGCTCGTTTGAAGTTATTTTTAAAAACCGCTCATAAATTTTATAAACAATTTAGTGGATTAATAGCTTCTTTTTTTAACTTTTAGTAAATGAAAACCAACAAATTTTTTGTATTTAAGATCCAAAAGTAATTACCACTTCAGTAATTATTATAAACTAATTACTTTTAATTGTTTAAATAATTTTTATAAACAATTTTAATGATTTCAGTTCCTAATTACGAAATTGATGACATATTAAATAAAATGTGCAATATTATTAGTCAAGGTAGGTAAATGACTAATACTTACTTTAATTAATTTTTACACATAGCATTGTTTAACATTCGCCGGACTGGATAACCACCAAGGGTGGGTCAGACCTAATTGACATTGTCATATCTTCTAAAGTTTTGCCTAAATTGAATTGCGATTTTAAGTCACTAAACAAAATCTTAATAACTTTCAAAAAAGGTAAAAACAAACTTTTTAAAAAAATTTCTTCTTGATTATTTATAACTTTTATTAATGTATGTACATACCCTTTTTATGACCAAAAACGCATCCAAAAGCATAAAAAACTTTCCAAAAAAAATTAATTTTTCTTAGGCAGACGATTTTATTGCATATTCTTGCACAAAATACATCGAAAAGTGTAAAAAAAATTGACACCCAGATCCGAGTAGAGGAAGACCCTTTTTATGATCAAAAACGCATCCAAAAGCATAAAAAACTTTCCAAAAAAACTCAATTTTTCTTAGGCAGAAGATTTTATTGCATATTCTTGCACAAAATACACCGAAAAGTGTAGAAAAAAATTGACACCCAGATCCGAGTAGAGGAAGACCCTTTTTATGACCAAAAACCCATCGAAAAGCATAAAAAACTTTCCAAAAAAATTTAATTTTTCTTAGGCAGACGATTTTATTGCAAATTCTTGCACAAAATACACCTAAAAGTGTAGAAAAAAATTGAGTTCTAGATCCGAGTAGAGGAAGACCCTTTTTATGACCAAAAACGCATCCAAAAGCATAAAAAACTTTCCAAAAAAAATTACTTTTTCTTAGGCAGACGATTTTATTGCATATTCTTGCAGATAATACACCTAAAAGTGTAGAAAAAAATTGACACCCAGATCCGAGTAGAGGAAGACCCTCCTTATGACCAAAAACGCATCCAGAAGCATAAAAAACTTTCCAAAAAATTCAATTTTTCTTAGGCAGACGATTTTATTGCATATTCTTGCACAAAATACACCGAAAAGTGTAGAAAAAAATTGACACCCAGATCCGAGTAGAGGAAGACCCTCTTTATGACCAAAAACGCATCCAAAAGCATAAAAAACTTTCCAAAATCATTCAATTTTTCTTAGGCAGACGATTTTATTGCAAATTCTTGCACAAAATACACCTAAAAGTGTAGAAAAAAATTGACACCCAGATCCGAGTAGAGGAAGACCCTTTTTATGACCAAAAACGCATCCAAAAGCATAAAAAACTTTCCAAAAAAAATTAATTTTTCTTAGGCAGACGATTTTATTGCATATTCTTGCACAAAATACACCTAAAAGTGTAGAAAAAAATTGACACCCAGATCCGAGTAGAGGAAGACCCTTTTTATGACCAAAAACGCATCCAAAAGCATAAAAAACTTTCCAAAAAAATTCAATTTTTCTTAGGCAGACGATTTTATTGCATATTCTTGCACAAAATACACCTAAAAGTGTAAAAAAAATTGAGTCCTAGATCCGAGTAGAGGAAGACCCTTTTTATGACCAAAAACGCATCCAAAAGCATAAAAAACTTTCCAAAAAAAATTAATTTTTCTTAGGCAGACGATTTTATTGCATATTCTTGCACATAATACACCTAAAAGTGTAGAAAAAAATTGACACCCAGATCCGAGTAGAGGAAGACCCTTTTTATGACCAAAAACCCATCCAAAAGCATAAAAAACTTTCCAAAAAAATTCAATTTTTCTTAGGCAGACGATTTTATTGCATATTCTTGCACAAAATACACCTAAAAGTGTAGAAAAAAATTGACACCCAGATCCGAGTAGAGGAAGACCCTTTTTATGACCAAAAACGCATCCAAAAGCATAAAAAACTTTACAAAAAAATTCAATTTTTCTTAGGCAGACGATTTTATTGCATATTCTTGCACAAAATACACCTAAAAGTGTAAAAAAAATTGACACCCAGATCCGAGTAGAGGAAGACCGTTTTTATGACCAAAAACCCATCGAAAAGCATAAAAAACTTACCAAAAAAATTTAATTTTTCTTAGGCAGACGATTTTATTGCAAATTCTTGCACAAAATACACCTAAAAGTGTAGAAAAAAATTGAGACCCAGATCCGAGTAGAGGAAGACCCTTTTTATGACCAAAAACACATCCAAAAGCATAAAAAACTTTCCTAAAAAATTCAATTTTTCTTAGGCAGACGATTTTATTGCATATTCTTGCACAAAATACACCTAAAAGTGTAAAAAAAATTGAGTTCTAGATCCGAGTAGAGGAAGACCCTTTTTATGACCAAAAACGCATCCAAAAGCATAAAAAACTTTCCAAAAAAAATTACTTTTTCTTAGGCAGACGATTTTATTGCATATTCTTGCACATAATACACCTAAAAGTGTAGAAAAAAATTGACACCCAGATCCGAGTAGAGGAAGACCCTCCTTATGACCAAAAACGCATCCAGAAGCATAAAAAACTTTCCAAAAAATTCAATTTTTCTTAGGCAGACGATTTTATTGCATATTCTTGCACAAAATACATCGAAAAGTGTAAAAAAAATTGACACCCAGATCCGAGTAGAGGAAGACCCTTTTTATGATCAAAAACGCATCCAAAAGCATAAAAAACTTTCCAAAAAAACTCAATTTTTCTTAGGCAGAAGATTTTATTGCATATTCTTGCACAAAATACACCGAAAAGTGTAGAAAAAAATTGACACCCAGATCCGAGTAGAGGAAGACCCTTTTTATGACCA